GAGGCAGAGTCTCTCTCTCTGTTGCCCAGGCTGGAGTGTAATGGCGTGTTCTCGGCTCACTGCAACCTCCGCCCCCCGGGTTCAAGCGATTCTCCTGCCTCAGCCTCCCGAACAGCTGGGATTATAGGCACCCACCACCATGCCCAGCTAATTTTTGTATTTTTAGTAGAGATGGGGTTTCACCGTGTTGGCCAGGCTGGCCTCAAACTCCTGACCTCAGGTGATCTGCCTGCCTCAGCCTCCCAAAGTGTTGGGATTACAGGTGTGAGCCACCATGCCCTGCCTGATTATTCTTAAAACAATGTGTGTGAATGAAATTTCCCAGGGAGAAGATCCAATAATCATTAGCGCCGTTCACTAAATTTTTCTGTTTCTGGATACGTGGGGGAGGTACGTGGGGATTGTACTTCCTTGCTCCCTAGTGGTTGGGTAGAACCAAGTGATTACTTTTGACCAATGAGTAATATGAGTAATGAGTAGAAGGGAATGCATTTCCAGGTCAAAGCTTTTATATATATATATGTATATATTCTTTCCATCACGAGGTCAGAACATTAAACTGCTGCTGTGAGACTCTCCAGAGTTCTCATTAAAGAGTTCAAGACAGTGGCTGTTCTGTTAGCCTCGATCTCTGAGTGATTACAGACAGCAGAGACTTCTGGGAGACCCAGACCCGCATGTAGTGTGGGTGAGAATTAAATCATCACTGTTATAAGCCATGAAACTCTGAGAATGCTGTGTTATTGCAGCATAATCTGTCCTATCCTGATAGAAACATAAAAAGTGCTGAGAGACAATTTGCTGGAACTGATACTTACAGGGAGAGGAGAGCCAGAAAAATAGAAGACAAACGTTGGATGCTCATGCCTATAACCCCAGTAATTTGGAAGGCTGAGGCAGGAGGATCACTTGAAGCCTGGAGTTCAGTACCACCCTGGGCAGCATATCAAGACACTATCTCTACAATTTTTTTTTTTTAAATTAGCCAAGCTTGGTGGCATGTGCCTGTGGTCCCAGCTACTCAGGAGGCTGTGGTAGGAGGATCACTAGAGCCCACAAGTTTGAGGCTGCAGTGAGCTATGATCACACCACTGCACTCCAGACTAGATGACAGAGCAAGATCCAGTCTCTAAAAATAAATCAATTAAATTAATTTTTTAAAAAAGAAAGATAAGATAAAGAGTCATAGAAGTATAAATGAGAAACCAGGAGAACATGGGACCCAGGAGAGCAATGGAAACCAAGGGAAAAAACTGGTCCGAGAAGCAGAAAGTGGCCAGTGACACTGAATGCATCCAAGAGATCAAGTAAAATAAGGAGTAGAATATATTCACTAAGTCTGGCAACTGAGAAGTCTTTGGTAACCTCATTGAGAACAGAATCCTTGCAGTGGTGGAGGTGGCAGTGGTGAAATAGCGGATAAGGACTGAAGCAGTGGAGAGGGGACAGCATGAGGGATCAGTGCAAGAGTTTAGCAGAAAGACAAGAAAACAGTCTGGGTGTGGTAGCTCATGCCTGTAATCCCAACACTTTGGGAGGCTAAGGTGAGCGGATCGCTTGTGACCAGGAGTTCAAGACCAGCCTGGCCAACATGGTGAAACCCCATCTCTACTAAAAATACAAAAATTACCCGAGTGTGGTGGCACATGCCTGTAATCCCAGCCACTTGGGAGGCTGAGGCATGAGAATCTCTTGAACCCAGGAGGCAGAGGTTGCAGTGACCCAAAATCGTGCCACAGCACTCCAGGGTGGGTGACAAAGGGAAATTCCGTCTAAAAATAAAAAAGAAGAAAAGAAAGAAAGAAAGAAAGACAAGAAAATAGCTGTCTTTTAGTGGTAGCAAGAGCAACACTGAAGTGATTTGCCTATTCTGGACATTTCCTATAAATAGAGTCATAAAAGATATCCTTTTGTGTCTGGCTTCTTTCACTTAGCGTAATGTTTTCAAGGTTCATCTATGTTGGAGCATGGGTCAGGGCTTCATTCCTTTTTACGGCTGAATAATGTTCCCCTGTATGGACAGACTCCCTTTTGTGTATCCATCCATCAGTGGATGGACACTTGACATGTCTGCCTGTTTATGGTGCTCTTGGGAATGAGTGAATGAATGAGGGAATAGCATAAACAGAGCTGTGCAAGGTCACAGAGCTGGTAAGATGTGGAGCCAGGATTGGAAGCCGGGCCATTAGTCCCCTAGAGCCTATGTTCTAAGCATCAGGCTTTACCTGTGAATCTCCTCTTTTTACAGATGGAGATAACCGTATCACTCAGATTCCCAGCAGGAAAGCAATGGCATCCTCAAGTGGGTAACTAATGATGGGGGCATTTACAAAGCTGTAGGCAGAGTTAAGAAAAAAGCAATAGGGGATAGTGAGCTGCCTGGGGCTGGCAAGAGTGGAGAGCCCTTACCACTCCCAGGACTAAAGGAGGGAGTGGTGGCCAGAAGCCCCGCCTATATGCAACTGAGAAGGGCGGGGCCAGGGAGTCCTGTCCATCCTCACTGCTCTCCAGTTTCCTGAACTGGAAGCCAGAGGGTGAGGGGGAACCCTGATGCGTTTGGATGGGTGGGAAAGCACAATTCACTCAGACTGAAAAAGTAAAAATCTACCCGGCCACATAGCAGGCTAGAGTAACAGAAATGGACCATGCCAGCTGCAAAAATAACAGGGAACACTATTTCTCTGTAGCTATAAAGTAATAATACAACCCTGCATCTTTAAGCGACTGCTGAAACATTGTCCTTTAAAATCACAGACCTGCAGAAACTCTGCTGTTTGAGATTACATGACTAAGACTGAAGTATTCCAATTTTGCCTGGAGGACCTAAGTTGTCTTGACAAAGAGAAGCAGCCTCAGCTTACAACTCAGGAGCAGAGCTGCAGATAAAGCGTTTCTGGACACATTTGACATAAATCTTAGCGATGTTGCTTTCAAGGAAACAGGGCCCTGGGACCCTTTTGCAATCCAGATTTGAAGACAACTGCTTTGTACAAACCTGCTTTGCTTGGAGTCTTTCAAAACATGACTTCATTTAGATTTTATCTAAATTCCACTTTCCTGGGAATCCTTTAATACATTGCTGTATTCCTTTGGGGATATGCTGTGGCTCTTCTGGTGGGTGGTGTCCCTCACTGAATAGGTCAAGAAACCTAACTCTGTTGGACTGCCACTGTGTTCTTGGTCGTCTTGGGCTGACTGGTCTAGGTCATGGGTTGACCTTCCAGGGCATAGGGCAGGGTGGAGAGTAACTCAGAGGGTCAGGCACGAAAAAGCCGGTAGAAAACTTAAGCCCCTCCACCCCCACCACCCTCACCCTTGCAAATCTAATTTCCCCCGCCAACTGTAGACCAGACCGGGCGGTGGAAGAAGAGAGGGAGACCTTCCTTTACCCAGAGCTCCTATACATCAGGGGCTGAATAAAGGGTTGTAGAAATGAATGAATCAATCTCTGAGTGGGGCTTGAGGCAATGGAAAGATCTCAGCCCTTTTCTCAGGCACAGTGAAAGCCCCAGGTATTGGGACATTTGCAGGGCTGCCCCTTTCTCCCAACAGAAATGAGCCCAAAAAAGCAAAAGGAAAGGGGAGAAAGGGAGAATTCTAAAAATGCCCATCCTCTGAACACTGTCTTTGTGTAGGCATCTGGGGGAGGCCAGCTGGGGCGAGGTCATCTGCCAGCCTGGCCCGTAGGACTTGGCCCTTCTTGTTTATTGCAGCCACATCTGGGGCAACTGCCAGGGCCCGCCCTTACTCTGCAGTCATTGGAGGAGCTCAAAGTTAAAGGCTCCTACTAAAAATCAGTACGTTTCATTTTGCAGTTACTGGGAGGGGGCTTGCTGTGGCCCCATCTGGGATAGCTGAGCCCTGGTCCAGCCCCGCGCAGGGAGGGAGCCTGTCACCATGCCGGCCTGCTGCAGCTGCAGTGATGTTTTCCAGTATGAGACCAACAAAGTCACCCGGATCCAGAGCATGAATTATGGCACCCTTAAGTGGTTCTTCCACGTGATCGTCTTTTCCTACGTTAGGTAAGTGGGATGCGGGGAGGACCCCAGACCTCTGCAGTGATTAACAGCACAGTAAGCCCCAGGGGGCAGCTTCAGGTGCGCATTCTGAATCTCACATGGTTTTGGAATCTGAGACGCTCTCTCACAGCAAGCTGGGCTCGAGGGCGGAAGTAGCAGCAGGATGAAACGGCGCCGCGGCCGGGCTGCAGCAGAGAGAAGCCACGGCCGGCGAGTGGGATTCCTTTCTGCTCTACTCCGGGCCGGCCCGGGCGAGCAGGGCAGGGCGTGGCTGGGGAAGGTGGGAAAGCTCAGGGCAACACCCTGGATTCCCGGAGAGGAGGCAAGGATCTCGGGGCACGCCTGTTGATCATGCTCTCATCTGAGTCACCGTGCTTGGGAGGAATAGGACCAGGCTTGAAAATGTATTATAACTTTAGGTCACCAATGTCAGGAAGACACTGCTTATTGGTTTATATTTTTTCTAAAAGAAACTTACCGAGATGTAATTTGCACACCATACAATCTACTCATTTAAAGGATACAATTTAATGGTTTTTTGAATTATTCAGAGTTGTGCAACCATCCCCACAATTAATTTTAGAATATTTTCATCCACTCAAAAATTTCTCACTCCTTCGCCACCATTTCCAGCACTGTTCCTCCTCCTTCCCACCCATGAATTCACTTTCTGCCTCTATGGATTCGCCTATTCTGGACATTTTCCGTAAATGGAATCACACAATATGTGGTCCTTTGTAGCTGGCTGTTTTCACTTAGCATGTTTTCAATGCTCACTCGTCTTGTAGCATGTGTTGATACTTCATTCAATTTTTTTTACGAGACAGGGGTCTCACTATGTTGCCCAGGCTGATCTCAAACTCCTGGACTCAAGTCTGCTTACCTCGGCCTCCCAGAGTGTTAGGATTACAGATGTGACCCATTGTGCCCGGCCTATACTTCATTCCTTTTTATGGCTGAGTCATATTCCGTTGCATGGAGAGACCACCTTTTATCCACTCGTTCATCCCTTGATTATTGGGAACACGTCTGCCAGGAGCTCTCGACCTGCAAGAGGATTCCAACTTGGATAGGGGGGTGCACGGAAGACAAAGAATGATAGACAGATGGGGTCTGGAGGGTTGAAAAGCATATGCTTTACCAACAACTTTATTCGTGCTCAGGGTCAGTATGTATATCTTTTTTAGGTATGTGTCTACGTGAGACAAAGGGGTACAGAAAGTTTTAAAGTAGAAAAATCAACATCATAGGGTCAGAAGAATGGAAAGGTCAGATAAACAATTAACCGGAACAGGTAGTCACACTATCTCATCTAGGGGCAGGTCATTTAATTAACCAGAACAGGTGGTCACACTATCTCATCTAAGGGTAAGTCATTTATCTTCTAGAGAAAATCAGCAAAGTCATAAAACATGACTTAGTAGAAAACTCAATTATCACATACGTAAAACATGTCTTAGCAGAAAACTCAATTATCGTACACAATGCATCTCATGACTGCACGGCCATCTGGCGATTGCCCACAAGTTTAACTTTAACCTAAGTCTTTCTCCGTTCCTGCTTTCCGATAGCTCGACTCCCTCAACTGGAGACACTGTGTCTGGGCTCGAGCCCTCCGTATTGTGAGGCCCATTTTCGGGGGGCCTCACACGGGAGCGATCCCCACACTTGATGGACATTTGGGTTGTTTCTCCTTTTTGGCAATCATGAATAATGCTGCACGAACATTTGTGTACAAGGTTTTATGTGGATATATATTCTCCTTTCTCTTGAGTATGTACCTAAGAGTGGAATTGCTGGGTCGTATGTTAATTACGTTTCACCTTTAGTGGAACTGTGGACTGAACGTCACAGCAGCTGCAGGTTTTTACATCCCCATCAGCAGAGCATGAGGGGTCCAATTTCTCCACATTGTCACCAACGCTTGTTATCGTCTGTCTTTTTGTGGTTTTTTGTTTTTGTTTTTTGAGATGAAGTCTTGCTCTGTTGCCTAGGCTGGAATGCAGTGGCGCAATCTTGGCTTGCTGCAACCTCCACTTCGCCAGCTTGAGTGATTCTCCTGCCTCAGCCTCCTGAGTAGCTGGGATTACAGGCGTACGTCACCACTCCTGGCTAATTTAGTAGAGACGGGGTTTCATCATATTGGCCAGACTGGCCTCGAACTCCTGACTTCAAGTGATCTGCCTACCTCAGCCTCTCAAAGTGCTGGGATTACAGGCATGAGCCACTCTGCCTGGCCGATTGTCTGTCTTTTAAATTCTAGCCATGCTAATGGGTGTGAAGTGGTAGTTCTCTGTGGTTGCGATTTGAATTTCCCTGACGGTGAGTGCCTCTTATTCTCTGTGCTGATTGATAATGATGATGAAGGCAATTTGTATCTATAGAGGGTGGCAGTGTAGTTTACTAAGAGTTAGGCCAACTTATTTCATAATACTGGCTATGTCTTCCTGGGCCAAGTCATAAACTTCTCTGAGCGTCAGTTTCTGCATCTGTTCATAGGGTTGTGACAATTAAACAAAAAAAATCATGAGCAGCCCTTGTTATGGTAACTGACATAGGATAAGAGCTCCATAACTGGTATCTATTTTTTAAAATAATCATTTTGAGGCTGGGCGCGGTGGCTCACGCCTGTAATCTCAACACTTCGGGAGGCCGAGGTGGGCGGATCGCTGGAGGTCGGGAGTTTGAGACTAGCCTGGCCAATATGGTGCGACCCTGTCTCTACTAAAAATTCAAAAATTTGCCAGGCATAGTGGTGCGCACCTGTAGTCCCAGCTACTTGGGAGGCTGAGGCAGGAGAATCGCTTGAACCTGGGAGGTGGAGGTTGCATTTAGCCAAGATCTCACCACTACACTCCAGCCTGGGCAACAGAGCAAGACTCTGTCTCAAAAAAAAAAAAAAAAAAAAAACCTTTTTGATTATATAATAGTATATGTATGTGTATAAAATACATGTATGTATTTTTATATACATCGTCTGGTCTGAGCCTCAAAGTAACCACATATAAGCTCAGGATTTGAGATGTGGAAATGTGGATTGAAAAATCCTTCACTTCTTTGAGCCTTGGTTCCCTCATGTGTAAAATGAGGAGAATTGTTAATAGGAATATTAAATGAACTAATACATGCCGAGCTGTTTGAGAAATATATGGCATATATTTTTGTTAGTTCCCTTACTGTTATTTCTTATTATTAATAATGCTATTAGGATTATTATTATTTGATTCATATGTTCACTGTTTAACAAATATTGAATACTAAACACATATGCTGGGCTGGACACGGTGGCCTGTGCCTGTATTTCCAGCACTTTGGAAGGCCAAGGCGGGCTGATCACTTGAGGTCAAGCATTTGAGACCAGCCTAGCTAAGGTGGTGGAAACATCATCTCTACTAAAAATACAAAAATTAGTTGGATGTGCGGGTGGGTGCCTGTAGTCCCAGCTACTCAGGAGGCTGAGGCAGGGGAATCACAGGAACTCGGGAGGTGAAGCTTGTAGTGAGCTGAGATTGTGCCGTTGCACTCCAGCCTGGGTGACAGAGCAAGACTCCATCTCAAAAAATAATAATAATAATAAATTTCTAAAAACAGATTACTATGAGAACACCTTATAATGATAAATATTTTTCTTTCACTTGGTGAAATCGTAACTTACATGTATTTAACTCCCCCAAATTCAGTTATACATGTTCCACATGGACATGGAGAGAGAGGCCTCCCAAAGTGCTGAGATTACAGGCTTGAGCCGCAGCAATAACGCAACGATCCAGCAACCCTGGAGTAGGTCTGAGATGCGATACTTGCATCTGGGCTTCCCTCCATCAATCTCCGTTCCCACGTGCTTCTCACAGAGCGAGCATCTTGCTGCTCTACTTATTAATATAGGTACATATTTTTCAGCCACGTGACCCCTAAAATAAGTCAACTCCTTCGCCCTCACCTGGAGCAAAACTGTAAAAACAGCAGCTTGTTCCGGAGCTGGAGGAAAAATTGGCTCCAGCAGACCCAAGTGGGAAGTGTTTGCTATGCTTTGTGGACAATTTAAGGATTTATCAAAGGCAATTTTGATGAGCCATGATTTCATCTTAAGTGCCGACCTTAGAGGATAAGCTGCGTATTAAAGTTTCTCCACTGTTTGTATTTTAAAATATAAAATGGAAGAAAAAACTATTGCCAGCTTTGCTTTATTCCTCTTGGTTAATGGACTATTAAGATCTCCCCAAATGGCCAAATGGAGCCTCACAGTACACAATTTCGGAAATGCTGCCTTAAGTTGCACTGTGAAGCTTTAAGTTCATGTAAACATGACTTAGCCATCTGTGGAATGGGTAGACCCAAGGGGCGTAGGGATTGGGGGAAGTAGTTTGCATCAAGTAGGACTGGTGTGGACCATAGGTGGAAATCCAGACAGGCTCGAGCAATGCTCAGGACACTGCAGCAAGTCACTGGCCAGCTGTCCCTCCTGGGGCTGGAAGGACTAAGAGCCAGGATAAGGCTACAGGGCCTCAGTTGTTGAAAATGGGATACAAAGCAGGGACTGATTATGGAGGAAATTAGCCAAGAGGCTGTTCAGCTTCTCCTGTTCTCACAACCAAGTTCAGATCTGGAGTCAGAGGCAGGGATGCCCCTGTAAGAGGAGTTTGTGTTGGAGGTCTGTGTAGATAGGATGCTGAGCAGGTCTGTGTTAGCCAGGGTTGTTTAGGCAGTGACAGAAACACAACTTACATTAACCACAAAGCCTCAATGGGGAATTTATTGGATCATGTAACTGGGCAGTTGAAGAGATGGTGCTGTCCTCGGACATGGATGAAGATAAGAGTTCAAACTATGTCATCAGAGCTGATCTCTCTTCCTACACGTTGGCTCCATTTGCTTCTATTTGGCTTCCTTCTTGAGCAACTCTTATGTAGCAAGATACTCTTACATTCTCTTCTTTCAGCAACCTCGGAGGAGCAAACAAGTCTTCCCTGATAGCTCTGATAGGAAAGTCCCAGGAAAGACCTGATTGGTCAGGTGTGAGTTACAGATCCATCCCTGAACCAATCACTGTGACCAGGGCCAAGGTGCCACCCGATTGGCCAGCCTGGGTCATATGCTGTCTCCCATGGCAGGAAGTAGTGAGAAGAGGAGGAAGCCATGTGAGCCCTACCTGAATGAACCACATCCAGTGGATTTTCCTCAGGAAGGAAGATTCTATTCCCAGACAAAATGGGAAAAGGAAGTGGAGAGGGTAGGCAGACAAAAAAGCAGTGATCTATTACAAGGTCCTTCCAAAACCCAGAAATTCCAGGGATTTCTGAAGTCTGCTTTTCTAGTCCTGCCTTGTCTCATCCCTGCAGCTGGGCTGTGGAGACTGTATCTGGGCAATTGCTGAGCTCCTATTCTTACCTCGGCCCCTTCCTCCGTCCCACCAGGAGCCCTGCTCCTCATCCCCAGATGTGCTGCTTGGGCCCACGGAGGCTGCCAGCTCACCTTGGTACTTCACTACTATTTGGTTTCTGTTGCCACCAAGCTGTTGCTTAAACCAAGCCACCTGTGATGGCACTGCCTTGATAAAAAAGCAAAAGGAGAATACTCTTTTTTACTTTTTTTTTTCTTTTTTTTTTTTTTGAGACAGAGTCTCACTCTGGTTGCTGACACTGGAGTGTGGTAGTATCTTGGCTCGCTGCAGCCTCAACCTCCTGGGCTCAAATTTTCCCACCTCAGCTTCCCCAGTAGCTGGGACTATAGGTGCACGCCACTATGCCCAGCTAATTTTTGTATTTTTAAATTTTTTTTTTTTTTCTGAGACGGAGTTTCGCTCTTGTTACCCAGGCTGGAGTGCAATGGCGCGATCTCGGCTCACCGCAACCTCCGCCTCCCGGGTTCAGGCAATTCTCCTGCCTCAGCCTCCTGAGTAGCTGGGACTATAGGTCGCGCCACCATGCCCAGCTAATTTTTGTATTTTTAGTAGAGACGGGGTTTCACCATGTTGACCAGGATGGTCTCGATCTCTTGACCTTGTGATCCACCCGCCTCAGCCTCCCAAAGTGCTGGGATTATAGGCTTGAGCCACTGCGCCCGGCCTAATTTTTGTATTTTTAATAGAGACGCAGTTTCACCATGTTGGCCAGGCTGGTCTTGAACTCCTGACCTCAGGTGATCCACTCTCCTCAGCCTCCCAAAGTGCTAGGATTACAGGCATGAGCCACTGTGCCCAGCTGGAGAATTCTTTTGATTTTATTCCAAGTGGGTTGAGAAGCCATGGGAAGATTGTAAGCAAAGGAATAAAAGATGGTTACATTCTCTTGGGAAGATTTCCCTCTTCCCTGGAGACCAGTCCTCACAGAAGCTTTTCCAGCAGCCACAGAAGACCAGGGAGGATTGAGAGAGACACAGGAAAACAAACTCCACTCACAGCTGCTGCTGCCCCACTGCCCAGTCAGCCTCCACTGGCGCCAACAGTGAGCCTGTGCTGTCATTCCTGGTCCCAGGCTGGCTGTTGCCGTGGAGAGGGTGCTGCTGTTCTAGTTTGTGGCTGTTAAAATGGAGCTCCTGGTGGACACCTGTTTCCCAGTGGATGGCCACACACCTGTGAATTTGGGCCTCCTCCAGCTGAGTAGAAGTGAGCCCAGCACAGAGGCCAGGGAGGCACCAGATTCCAGGAGGAGCAAATCTCAATCCAATCCAAGTGTGGCATCTCTGCCCCGACCATCTTTTTTTTTTTTGAGACAGAGTCTCCCTCTGTCACCCAGACTGGAGTGCAGTGGCGCAATCTTGACTCATTGCAACCTCCACCTCCTGGGTTCATGCAATTCTCCTGCCTCAGTCTCCCGAGTAGCTGGGATTATAATAGGTGTGCGCCAGCACACCCAGCCAGTTTTTGTATTTTTAGTAGAGACAGAGTTTTGCCATGTTTGCCAAGCTGATCTCGAACTCCTGGCCTCAAGCGATCTACCCACCTTGGCTTTCCAAAGTGCTGAGATTACAGGTGTGAGCCACCATGCCTCACCTGCCCCTGACTGTCCTCAGAGGAATAGAAACATGAGGTCTGCCACATTCTCATCCCACCTTTGACACCTGGGTGATGTGATAGAGCTTGAGGGGAAGGTCAGAGATAACCCAGTTCAGGAGGTGACCCCGTAGGAGGATTAGAATCCAGCCACTGGACACATGGTACCAAGAGAGCAGTAAATGCAAAGATCTGGAAACAGAAGAGGAACAGCAAGGACAGCATGTTCCAGAACCTGGAGAGAGAGGAGGGGGCAGCCGGAGCTGAGGGCAGGTCAGGGGAAGGGTTTCAATTTGATTTTCAGTGTCATGGGAAGTCACTGAAAAGTTTTATGCAGAGAAGTGAAACCACCTGACTCATGTTTCTAGAAGCTCTCATGGTTCACTGTACAGTGAACCACTGCACTCCAGGGCAACAAGAGGGAAACTACATCTCAAAAAAAGAAAAAAGCCATCCGATCCCATGAGACTTATTCACTACCACGAGAACAGTATGGAGGAAACCACCCCCCTGATTCAGTGACCTCCCACCAGGTCCCCCCAACAACACATAGAAATTATGGAGGCTACAATTCAAGATGAGATTTGGGTGGGGATACTGCCACACCGTACCAGTGGCCCTAGCTTCTCTCCCATCGGTTCTCTTCTACCTCCCAGACTCTTTTGAGCTTTGCTTTTCTTCTTTTTCTTTTTTGGAGACTGGAGTCTCACTGCATTGCTCAGGCTGGTCTTCAACTCCTGGGCTTAAGGGATCCTACCACCTCAGCCTAACAAGTAACTGTGACTATAGGCGCACACCACCATGCCCCCACAACTTACCCATCCTGCCCATCCCAGTGAAATCCCCAGGTTCTTCACAGCCCTCTTAGCTCTAGGCACTAGTGGCTTTGCCTTCTATAGAATGGACGACATGATAGCATCTTAGAACAAGCGGTCATGGGGATTAGGGAGGCTGGGAGTTCTTTCTTCATTCAGGGATTAAACCTACCACCTGAAGGGGTGACATGGCTTGTCTCAGTCACCAGACAAGATCAGGAGAGTATTTTTGGGACAGACATTAGAATGTTGAAAGGGAGGACACTGCAAAGTCACTTTCCCCTGACAGTATCCCCCTGATAGATAAAGTGGCAAACTCATTTTCATTCCCTGTTTGCCTTTGACGAAGCTCTGAACCATTTTAATTATTATTGTTATTATTTTTTCTTTAGACAGATTCTCCCTCTATTGCTCAGGCTGGAGTGCAGCGGTGCAATCTCGGCTCACTGCAACCTCCACCTCCTGGGTTCCAGCAATTCTCCTGCCTCAGCCTCCCAGGTAGCTGGGACTACAGGCACCCACCGCCATGCCTGACTACTTTTTTATTTTTAGTAGAGACGGGGTTTCACCATGTTGGCCAGGCTGGTCTCAAACTCCTGACCTCAGGTGATCTGCCCACCTTGGCCTCCCAAAGTGCAGGGATTACAGGCATGAGCCACCGTACCCAGCCCTATGTTAAGCATTATTAAAGAATAGGATTGGGGGCAGTAGCTTTCCTGTAGCAAGTGCTCACTATGTGCCAGATACTGGGCAAAGGAGTTTGCAGACATCTCTCATTTCATCCTCTCAATCCATGAGGCAGGTATGACTATTCTTCCCGCTGTGCAGAGAGGGAAAACAAGTCACATGGAAGCACGTCACACAGCAAAGCTAGGATTGGAATGGAAGCGCCTGCATCCTCCAGCGCCTGCATCCCGCCCGCTGTGCTATGCCTCCCCTTGATGCTTTCCTGTGTCTGCCATTTAGCTTTGCTCTGGTGAGTGACAAGCTGTACCAGCGGAAAGAGTCTGTCATCAGTTCTGTGCACACCAAGGTGAAAGGGATAGCAGAGGTGAAAGAGGAGATCATGGAGAACGGAGTCAAGAAGCCGGTGCACCATGTCTTTGACACCGCAGACTACACCTTCCCATTGCAGGTAAGCGCCTTGTAGTATTCTCCCAGGCTCGCCGCTGGTCACCGTCGCCAGGGCCTTGCCCCTTTCCCCTGGGATCTAGAGCCTCACTCCAGAAAAAAAAAAAAACGTTGGCCCTATTTTAAAAGCTCTGTGAACATCCCAACTGAGAAAACCTAAAAATTGCAAAACTGGGTGAGATCCAGCAGCTCAGAGATGATTCTTTGCTTTATGAAGTCCTGCAGGGTTTCCCAGAATAGCAGCATGTCCTGTGTGCGTTGAGAACAGGGTTCGATTCACTCACGCTTGATGTATCGCAGCTCTCTAGAGGCACAGCCAGCAAGCCAGCAAAGTCTGCTTAGAGACAGAAGGACGGAGAACTTTCTACTGAAGAGCACCAGCCCTTCTAGATTGTCTGTGTGGCATTTTATCAAAAACGTCTCCAGGAGACCATTCTTGGGTACATTTTTGCACAAAGAAAGGATGTAAATGACAAAAAGAGGAAGGCGTCCGTCACAGAGAGAAGGCGTGTGACTGACTAAATTTGAAAGCAGAGGAAATGAAAGCAACATTGCCAAAAAGGAGAAATTAAACTAGGGTGAGGAGGCCAAAAAAAACTGATAAGGGTGTGAGAGGGACAAAGGGGCACATTTGCAGCCTCAGGGAGCTAAAACACTTTGCAAAAAACCCATAAAGCCCAAGCTGCTATCTGTTTGCTTCTAACAGTGTGTCATGAAAATCCTGTGACTGCTCAGGCGGTGGGATGCCCTTGTGCCCCTTAATGAAAGTCTGAGAACATCTGAACGGTGTTCCGACAAAGGCTGCTCCCCTACCATCGCCTACCCAGGTCTCTTGAGTTTCAATTTAAGGAGATTTTACTGTGTAAAAAAGTACGAAAAGGCTGCTTTTGGGACTGCATTGGTAAACGACTCCTCAATCCATTCGAATGTTCCTTTGCTTTTCCTCAGCTCAGCAGGGCTGCTCCTCCAGCTTTGATATTAAGCCCTCAGCATATTCCAAGTTGCCCACAGACCCTGATTTCTAGAAGCTTAGAAAAGTGGAGAGGTTCACCCCCAGGCACTTAGCAAGCTGGATTATTATAATTAAGTAGTTTCTCTTTTCAAAGGCCTTGCATTGCCTTAGGGTCTCCTCCTCCACAGGGGAACTCTTTCTTCGTGATGACCAACTTTCTCAAAACGGAAGGCCAGGAGCAGGGGTTGTGTCCTGAGGTAAGGAGGGGACCAGGAGTGGTGGGTCGGGCTGTAAGAGTTCCTGGGGGAGGTGCAGGTCAGAAGAAGCAGAAATGAGGACCCTGAGGTGTATTTGAGCTGACAAATATTTACTGAGCACCTGCCTCTTTTGTAGGGTCGGGCTGGGCTGAGTGGAAGGAAGGGAGAGAACACACCCACTTCTTAGCGCCTCAGTCCCTGCATCAGGCACACGTGCCCCCATGACTCCCCACAACCCCAGACAGTCTTTCCCAACTTGGCTTTGCCCTCTCCACAATGCTGCCCTTTTCTGGAAAACCTTCTTCCCTATCAAATCATATTTGTTTTATTCTGGGCCAGGTGTGATGACTCACACCTATAATCCCAGCACCTTGGAAGACCGAGGCAGGAGGACCATTGGAGCCCAGGAGTTCGAGACCAACCTGGGCAACATCGTGAGACCTTGTCTCTAAAAACAAAATAAAACAAAAACTGTATTTGTCCTATTCTGTACCTCACCATCCTGCTCTCTGCTCTTCAAGATGAAAATCAGCTATTCTTCTAAGTTTATCTTTACCGGTATGTTACCGTTACACATTACCTGTAACTCCCAACCTTCCAGCCTCCCCTCTCAGGTAATGTTACAGTGCTCTACCAGGGACCATTCCCAACACTGAGGGATGCAGCAGCACTGGTAATACCCAGCCAGGTCCCCCACTGATGAGTAGGACCAGCCCTGCCGGTAGGGCTTTGCTCACAGGCCCACTCTGGCAACAAGGTCTAGCTTCCTGAGTGTCCAGGAGCTCTGGGTAAAAATGCTGTCTTCAAGTACATCATTTGTACCCAAACTCGGAACCAAGATAACATTCCCTTGGTGTGTATCTTGATAACACTTCCCCTAAAAGGAGAGCTCTCTACGTTTGTTTTGTCCTCATCCCCCCTTAACGATCCCTGCTGCTCAGATGAAATCTCTGACAGCCAGGCCAGCCAAGCCCTCCCTTCTGCCTCGCTTCCTAGCAGTATTCCATCTCCAATCCACTTTGGGGGCCCTGGTTTTCTTTTCTTTTCTTTTTCTTTTTTTTACTTTTTTTTTTTTAAAGACGGGGTTTCACCATGTTGGTCAGGCTGGTCTTGAACTCCCGACCTCAGGTGATCCACCCGCCTTGGCCTCCAAAGTGCTTGGATTACAGGTGTGAGACACCACGCCTGGCTCTTTTGTCCCATTCTCTGGTCATCTCTACACCATACACCGCACACCACCCCCGTGTACACAAAAGACATTTTTGGAGTTATTGAGACTTGGAAGAAAAGAGAGTTAGGATAGCCCAGAGATTAAGACCCTGGGCTCAGAAGCTAGACTGCTGAAGGTTCAAAACTTAAACTTCTTAGCTCTGTGACCTCAGGCAGGCAACTCTTCACCTCTCTGTGCCAAGTTGTGTGCGTCTGTAAAATGGGGCTGAGAACAAACATATGACCTGGGCTCTGCATTCGAAGGTTCATAGTCTAATTTGGGGAATCACAGGAGATCAGGGGCATGCCAGGTGACAAGGCAGACTGGGAAGAGATCATGAGAGAGTTTGAAAACGATAAGAAACATTCATTGAGCATGTACTGTGTTCTAAATCCTTTCTTTTCATAACTCATTTAATCTTCACAACAACCACGCAAGACAACTCTGTTCACTCTGCTTTTACAAATGAGGAAATTGAGGCTCAGAGAAGAGTGTGAGTTGGCCAAGGTCTCTCAGCTAGAAAATGGTGCAGCTACTGCTGAACCAGGTTTATCTGGGTCCAAGAACTAGGTCCTTGACCTGAATCCCTGTAGAAACCCCAAACTGCACAGATGACAAGGAGCAGAGGCTATTTTCTTTTTCTTTTATTTATTTTTATTTTTATTTTTTTGTTTGAGACGGAGTTTCGCTCTTGTTCCCCAGGCTGGAGTGCAATGGTGCGATCTCGGCTCACCGCAACCTCTGGCTCCCAGATTCAAGTGCTTCTCCTGCCTCAGCCTCCCGAGTAGCTGGGATTACAGGCATGTGTCACCATGCCAGGCTAATTTTTTTTGTATTTTTAGTAGAGACAGGGTTTCTCCATGTTGGTCAAGCTGGTCTTGACCTCCTGACCTCAGGTGATCTGCTCACCTTGGGCTCCCAAAGTGCTGGGATTATAGGCGTGAGCCACTGCGCCCAGACACAGAGGCTATTTTCACATCTATGCCATGTTCTGGTTTCCCCAAGACTGGACATGCAGCCTGCTCCCAAGAAAACAGGAAGAGAAATATGCATATGACCAGGGCAGCTCATTTCTCTTTTCCATGTTCTATAATTCAGCCCTGAGACCCAGCTGGTCTCATTTTCTTGGGCCAGGTGAGTGTCCTGGCCAATGTCCCTCAGTTCCACTTGTCCTGCTGAGTCTCTGCACCTGTCTGCCCTACTCAGTCTTTTCAGCCACAGGGCTACTTGGACCAGGCCTCCTGTCCTTCACCCCAGCCATCATCCCTGAAAGTGATCCCTGGCTGCCCAGAACTCTGCTTTCCCCATTTTTATTTATTTTTATTGTGATATATTTCACATACCATAAAACCACCATTTTAAAGTATACAATTCTGTGGTTTTTAGTATATTCACAGAGTTGTGCAACCATCACCACTGTCTAATTCCAGAATATTTTCTTTATTTTCCCTTTTCTTTTCTTATTTTGTTTGAGGTGGAGTTTTGCTCTTGTCACCCAGGCTAGAGTGCAGTGGCAAAATCTTGGCTCACTGCAACATCTGCCTCCTGGGTTCAAGCAATTCTCCTGCCTTAGCCTCCCTAGTAGCTTGGATTACAGGTGCGCACCACCACGCCTAGTTCATTTTTGTATTTTTAGTAGCTACAGGGTGTCATCATGTTGACCAGGCTGGTCTCGAACTTCTGACATCAGGTGATCTGCCTGCGTCGGCCTCCCAAAGTGCTGGGATTACAGGCATGAGCCACTGTGCCCAGCCTCCAGAACATTTTCATCACCCGCAAAGGAAACCCCAAATCCATTAGCAGTCGCTCCCCATTCTCCCCTTCCCGTGGTCCCTGGCCACCACCAATTTGCTTTCTATCTCTATAGATGCCTGTTCTGGACATTTCCTATAAATAGGATCCTACCTGATGTGCCCTTTTGTGTCTGACTTCTTTTACTCAGCATCATGGTTTTATTTGTTTGTTTGTTTTAGATGGAGTCTCAGTCTGTCGCCCAGGCTGGAGTGCAGTGGCATATCTCAGCTCACTCCAACCTCCGCCTCCCGGATTTGAGCAATTCTCTGCCTCAGCCTTCTGAGTACCTGGGATGACAAGCACCCACCACCATGCTCGGCTTATGTTTTTTGTATTTTTAGTAGAGACGGGGATTCACCATCTTGGCCAGGCTGGTCTTGAACTCCTGACCTTGTGATCCACTGCCTCGACCTCCCAAAGTGCTGGGATTACAGGCATGAGCCACCACGCCCGGCCTAGCATCACGTTCTTGAGATTCATCCGTGTTGTAGCCTGTGTCAACGCTTCGTCCTTCTTATGGCTAAATAAGATTCTGTGTATGAATGTGCCACATTTTATTTGTCCATTCATCCATCAGTGGCCACTTGCATGATTTCCATGTTTTGGCAATTTTGAGTACTGCCGCTCTAAACATTCATTTGCACATTCTGGCGGACATCAAATCACTTCTCCATGTCTTGGTAACACATGCCATTTACTGCCACTCTCTCATCCTTCTCTCTGCAGTATCCCACCCGCAGGACGCTCTGTTCCTCCGACCGGGGTTGTAAAAAGGGATGGATGGACCCGCAGAGCAAAGGTACCTTCTGCTTCTTTTCCCGAGGCCCTAGGGATGGGTGGTCTGGCATCTTGGTGACATTTGCGATGCCCAGTTCAGGGCTTCAGCCTCTGCTTTCAGCTGCCTTCTTCCGCCATCACCAAGCCATCGGCGAGTCTGCCCACACTTTGGCTCTGTCCTCAACAGACCAGCTGGTGACTGTAAACATGATTCCAGTTTCCCAGTGAGAGAAGCTCCAAAAAGCCTCACAGGTTCAGGGTTCTCATTGGTAGAAAAATCACATGGCCTGGCCTGGCACTGTGGCTCACATCTGTAATCCCAGCACTTTGGGAGGCTGAGACAGGCAGATTATGAGGTCAGGAATTCAAGACCAGCCTGACCAACATGGTGAAACCCCATCTCTACTAAAAATACAAAATTAACTGAGCGTAGTGGCACTTGCCTGTAGTGCCAGCTACTCAGGAGGCTGAGGCAGGAGAATCCCTTGAACCCAGAAGGCAGAGGTTGCAGTGAGCCAAGATCGTGCCACTGTACTCCAGCCTGGGCAACAAAGCGAGACTCTCTGTCTCAAAAGAAAAATCACATGACCCACAGCATCATCTGCGTTTTCTAAACTTTCCCCCTGAATCTCCTCAAAGGTTGAGGATCATGAACTTATACACACAGGGCACCTGGAAGCAATACCCACATTAACCTGCAGAATTTTTTTATTTTTTATTTTTTACTTAAAAAAAGTTTTTGAGAGGCCGGGTGTGGTGGCTCACGCCTGTAATCCCAGCACTTTGGGAGGCTGAGGCAGGTGGATCACGAGGTCAAGAGATCGAGACCATCCTGGTCAACATGGTGAAACCCCATCTCTACTAAAAATACAAAAAATTAGCTGGGCATGGTGGCGCGTGCCTGTAATCCCAGCTACTCAGGAGGCTGAGGCAGGAGAATTGCCTGAACCCAGGAGGTGGAGGTTGCGGTGAGCCGAGACCGTGTCATTGCACTCCAGCCTGGGTAACATGAATGAAACTCCGTCTCAAAAAAAATAAATAAATAAAATAAAAATTTTTTTTGTATTATTTTATTTTTCTTTTGATTTTATTTATGTCTAAGAACCATGCTATTGCAATACCTACAGAATTGCTTTATCTCATATTTTAACTTAAAAAAGCACAGGGCACCAGGCGCAGAGGCTCATGCCTGTAATCTCAGCACTTTGAGAGGGTGAGGCAGGTGGGTCACTTGAGGTCAGGGGTTCGAGACCACACTGGTCAACATGGTGGTGTACTAAAAATACAAAAACTAGCCAGGTGTGATAGTGCACACTTGTAATCCCAGCTACTTGGGAGGCTAAGGCAAGAGAATTACTGGAACCTGGGAGGCAGAGGTTGGAGTGAGCTGAGATCACGCCACTGCACTCCAATCTGGGTGACAGCGCAAGACTCTGTCTCCAAAAAAAAAAAAAAAAAAAAAAAAAAGCACAGGGCAATTTTTAAAATACTGCAAACAATAAAAAAAAATCAGTGGTTATAATACAAACACACACAAAAAGAGATATAACCATTATTTTATGCTACTCCACACTATATGTGTATTTGAGTTGATACAAAGGCTATTTTAACATTGCTCACTATTTATTTATTTCTCTCTCGGAAACTGGTTAATCATCCTAACACTCCAGGAAGATGTGCCATGTTTATTTCATGGCTTTGCGAATGCTGAACAGGCTGTGTACCCCTTGAGAGACCTGTGCCCCTTTAAGAGGCCATGTTCTAGTCCATTTATACTGAGAGCATACACCTGTTCCGCTCCCCTCAGGGGCATCTTTTCTTGTAAAGAAACAAAAGGAGCCAACAGAATCCACAGTCTTTCTGTGTTCTCTCTGATCTTTATTAGGAAGCTCGCCGTCCAATGTTTTGCTCGTTTGCTTTGCCTTGTGTTCGCTATGGTTAGGATGGGGCTGATGGACGCTGGAGTCGTTGTGATTAGGATGGGTTGATCGATGCTGGAGTCGTGGTCAGGATGGGGGAGGGCAGCTGAACTGCGTGGGTTGGAAAGCCTGGTCAAAGCCTCATCTCTAGCCTGGGTCGAGTTAATGACATCCCTCCTGGAGAACATCCTCTCCACAGTCCTTTCACATCCGTGGTTCTGCGATGCTTTGACCTCCACAGGAATTCAGACCGGAAGGTGTGTAGTGTATAAAGGGAACCAGAAGACCTGTGAAGTCTCTGCCTGGTGCCCCATTGAGGCCGTGGAAGAGGCCCCCCGGTGAGTCGCACGGAGAGACAGACCATGGCCCTCAGCAGCGGTCAGATAAGGCCTTGCTGAGGCTGCCTGGGCTTTCCCGTCTCAGCACAGCCCTGCAAAGTCCTGAGTCCTACTGGCTTGGGGACCCCGTGCTCTGGATACACTGCTTGGCACAAACTAGAGTCTCTGGGAGGGCCATGGTGGTTGGTAAACTATTGTAATAATTCTGTACCAGCTGGTACATAGCTACTACCCTGAGCATCCTTGGGGGTCCCTGGCCCCCTTCCCTCCCCCAGCTCTTCCAGGGCACCTCCAGACCCCTCCTCTAGTGCCACAGCAGGGGCCCTTCTGACTTGCCAGTGTCCATACTGAGTGACTAAGAACAGGAAGGAAGGAAGGAGATGGAAGGGAAGGACGAAGCAAGGAATGAGAAGGGGAAGGGGAGGAAAAAGGAGAAGGGGTGAGGGCAAAGGAGGGGAGGGAGAGGGAAAGGACCTTTTCTCAAATTAAATGCTCACAGTGACCTACAGATTTGGTGGTCCCCTGTATTGATTCTTGTTGTCAACACACAAAGTCAGGATGTTAAATCTCAGCAGCCACAAGGGCTGATGTATTTCAGCAGGGAATAGTTAGAAAGACCTGGATTCAATTCTTAGCTCTAACACATTTTTGCTGTGTGTCCTTGGGCAAGTGGCTGAACCTCTCTGAGTTTCAGTGTCCTCATCTGTAAAATCAGAATAATAATTTTGCCAACCTCATAGGGCTGTGGTAAGGATTAAATGAGATGATACTTGTAAGTTATTGTAAAATAAGCCTCATGCCTGGCTTATACACACACACAATCTGCCCCTAGGAGTGTGATGGTGCTTGACCAGCATTGTCCAATAGAACTTTATGCAGTGATAGAAATGTTTTGTATATCTGGTATCCAATAGGGTAGCTACTAGGTACATGTGGCTACTGAGTACATGAAATGTGACTACTAAATTTTTAAAATATAGATAGATAGATAGGTCTTGCTCTGTTGCCAGGCTGGTTTTGAGCTCCTGGGCTCAAGCAATCCTCCTTACTTGGCCTCCCTAAGTTTTGGGATTACAAGTGTGAGCCACTGCTCCCAGCCTGAATTTTTAATTAAATTTAAATTTAAATAGCCACACATGCCCAATGGCTACCATATTGAACAGTGCAGTTCTGGACCAGTGTGATTCAGGATCATTCCCTCAGCATCCGTGGGCAAAGAGAAAACGGCCCCACGCTGGCTTGTAGAAGGCTGAGGTGAAGGTTTCCCAATGTCAGGGTGGGATGCACTCAGAAGCGTCACCCCCTATGGTCCTCAATCGCTAACAGCTCCACTCAGGTTCATTTCTAGGTCAGGGAAGTTTCTTTGACATAGAAAGAATCACCCAGCTCTGGGAGATAGAGCAGCCTACATTCAAGTAGTCCTTGGTTCAAGACAAGTGGCCCTTGGCTGGCTGTGGTTTCAGTTCCAGCTCTGCCATCAACTCATTCATCAGATAAACCGTGCATCTCCAGTGTGCCTGCCTCTGGGCTAGATTTTGACGTGGCCTTGGCCAAGCAACTCTCTGCACTTCAGTTTCTCATATATCATATGAATTAGCTAAGATAGTTCATTTAATCATTCATTGAACACATCTATCACCACATAGTAGGTGTCTGATATTTATTTCATATGTAACTATGCACAAGAGGCTGCTAAATTTTAGGTAATATACAAGTCCCAGATATGGAGTGAGTCCCAACTACTGTACATACCTGAATGTATAATTATATCAGTGTGAGAGGTGTCACAGTAAATGCCATCAGGTCTTGTATTAATCCGTTCTCACACTGCTATGAAGAACTACTTAGACGGGTGTGGTGGCTCACACCTGTAATCCCAGCACTTTGGGAGGCTGAGGCAGGTGAATCACCTGAGGTCAAGAGTTCGAGACCAGCCTGGCCAACATGGTGAAACCCTGTTTCTACTAAAAAATACAAAAATTAGCCAGGCTACTCAGGAGGCTGAGGCAGGAGAATCACTTGAACCCAGGAGGTGAAGGTTGCAGTGAGCCAAGATCACACCACTGCACTCCAGCCTGGGTGACAGAGTGAGACTCCATCTCAAAAGAAAAAGAACTACCTGATACTGAATACTTTATGAAAAAAAGAGGTTTTAATTGACTCAGAGTTCCACAGGCTTAACAGGAAGCATGGCTGGGAAGCCTCAGGAAACTTACAATCATGGCAGAAGGCGAAGAGGCAGCAGGCACATCTTACTATGATGGAGCAGGAGCAGGGTTGTGGGGGATGTGCCACACACTTAAACAATCAGATCTTGTGAGAACTCACTCACTATCACGAGAACAGCAAGGGGGAAGTCCGCTCCCATGATTCATTCGCCTCCATGGGAATTACAATTCGAGATGAGATTTGGGTGGGGACGTAGAGCCAAACCACATCAGATCTCAAGAAGGGAGAAACTCTTCTTGGAGAAGCTGGAAATGCTTTGTGGAGAGTCTCAGCATGCATTGCCCACTGCTTGGTGTATCCATTTCTCTTCGCTCATCCCAAAGACCAAACCAAGAAACCAGAAGCCTCTGGTCCCACTGGCCCACGGACTCCCTTGGTCCCTGCAGTCGCTAACGGCCATTTCGCATGTCTCTCTCCCAGCCCTGCACTCTTGAACAGTGCTGAAAACTTCACTGTGCTCATCAAGAATAATATCGACTTCCCTGGCCACAACTACACCACGTAAGTGCCCAGGCTGCCTGGCTGTGTTACTGCTGCGTAGTAAATTATCCCAAACCTCAGATGCCTGAAACTACAAACGCCTATTGTCTCCCACGGTGTCTGTGGGTCGGGAATCTGGGAATGACTTTGCTGTCTGGTTCTGAATCAAGGTCTGTCAGGTAGTAGCCAAGCTGTCAACCAGGGCTGCAGTCAGTTCTAGGCTTGACTGGGGCTGGAGAATGCTTTTCCAAGCTCTCCACAGTTGGTGGGAGGGCTCAGTTCCTCACCAAGTGAACCTCGCCCAGAGCCACTTGAGAGTCCTTGGGATATGTGGCTGGCTTCCCCCAGAGCAAGCAACCAAGAGTATCAAGATGGAAGCCACAGTCTTTGGGAGCGAGGCTCCAGCACTTCCGCCATATGCTATTGGTCACACAGGCCAACCCTGGTCCAATGTGAGAGGCCACTGCCCTAGGGTCCCAGGAGGCGGGGATCACTTGGGGCTTTTCATGGAACCTTTCTACCACACTGGCTCACTTCTGGGAAACAGACAGATCTGTTTTCTTTTCTTTTCTTTTCTTTTTTTTTTTTTTTTTTTTTTTTTTTCTTTTTTTTTTTTTTTTTTTTTTTTTTGAGACAGTTTGCTCTTGTTGCCCAGGCTGGAGTGCAATGGTACAATCTTGGCTCACTGCAACCTCTGCCTCCTGGGTTCAAGCGCTTCTCCTTCCTCAGCCTCCCGAGTAGCTCAGACTACAGGCATGCGCCACCACACACAGCTAATTTCGTATTTTTAGTAGAGATGGGCTTTCTCCCTGTTGGTCAGGCTGGCCTCGGCCTCCTGACCTCAGGTGATCTGCCCTCCTCGGCCTCCCAAAGTGCTGAGATTACAGGTATGAACCACTGCACCTGGCCAAGAGACAGGTCTGTTTTCAAAAGAGGTGTTTATTTGTTCGTTTGCTTTTAATTATGCACAGGAGAAACATCTTGCCAGGTTTAAACATCACTTGTACCTTCCACAAGACTCAGAATCCACAGTGTCCCATTTTCCGACTAGGAGACATCTTCCGAGAAACAGGAGATAATTTTTCAGATGTGGCTATTCAGGTTGGTGGCACTGGGATGTGGGGTGGGGGTATCTGGAGATGGAGAATGTCAAATACCAAGAGGCTGGGCCGCTGGGTCTTCATAATGCGGCTCACATTTACTGAGCATTTAGTAAATCCACGCACGGTGCCAAGGGCTTTACCTACGCTACCTCATCAAATCCCGAAACAATCTTAGGAGTGAGACCTACTTGGTGTATTCCTTTCCTGTGGCTGCTGTAACAAGTTACCAAAGTTTAGTGGCACATTTTCTTTTGCTTTTCTTTTTTTTTTTTTTGACAGAGTCTTGCTCTGTCACCCAGGCTGGAGTGCAGTGGCACAATCTTGGCTCACTGCAACCTCCACCTCCCAGGTTCAAGCGATTCTCCTGCCTCAGCCTCCTGAGTAGCTGGGATTACAGGAATGTGCCACCAAACCCAGCTAATTTTTTTGTATTTTTAGTAGAGATGGGGTTTCACCACGTTGGCCAGGCTGGTCTCGAACGTTGGACCTCATGATCCGCCTGCCTCAGCCTCCCAAAGGGCTAGGATTATAGGCATGAGTCACCGTGCCCGGCCTGGACTTGATCTTTAATGGGGGTGTGGGGGGCATTAAAGCTGTTTGAGTGCAGGAATGATCTGTTGAAAGTAGTATTTTAGGACAATGAATGTAACGGTGGTGTGTCCCTGATGGGAGTGGGGAGAGTGAGGAGACGCGTTTGTGGCTGCCACAGTGACACTTATGCGAGTTAGATGAGGTAGTACATATGGTTCTTTAATCAGACTTTTTCCTCTAAAAACCTTGAGCGATCATGGCTGTGCAGGGAAATGTCTGGCGGTTGCATAAGTCACTCCCAGCAGCCATAGAGACTGTCTCTTGACTCCTTCAGGGCGGAATAATGGGCATTGAGATCTACTGGGACTGCAACCTAGACCGCTGGTTCCATCACTGCCGTCCCAAATACAGCTTCCGTCGCCTTGATGACAAGACCACCAACGTGTCCTTGTACCCTGGCTACAACTTCAGGTAACTCCAGGGTCCTGGGTCAGACTCGCCCAGTAGCTGAATCACAACCCCAGCAGCTGGTGAGACTAATTTTGGTTCCCAAGGCAACAAGATGAAAAAAAAAAAAAGACTTTCTCTAAGAACTAGACCAGGTTCGGTGGCTCACGGCTGTTGGCCCAGCACTTTGGGAGGCCAAGGCGGGCTGATCAATTGAGGTCAGGAATTCGAGGCCAACCTGAGCAACATGGCGAAACCCTGTCTCTACCAAAAATACAAAATTTGCCGGGCTTGGTGGCACGCACTTGTAATCCCAGCTACTTGGGAAACTGAGGCAGGAGAATTGTTTGATCCTGAGAGGTGGAGGTTGCAATGAGCCAAGATTGCACCTTTGCACTCCAGTCTGGGCAACAGAAGAAGACTCTTGTCTCAAAATTAATTAATTAATTAATAAAAACTAGGTGGTGACTGAATTTTCAGCATTTTTAAAAAATTCTCAGAGATGCACACTTTTTTTTTTTTTTTTGAAACAGAGTCTTGTTGTGTCACCACCCAGGCTGGAGTGGAGTGGCGCAGTCTCAGCTCACTACAGCCTCCACCTTCCGGGTTCAAGCAATTTTCCTGCCTCAGCCTCCCAAGTAGCTGGGATAACAGAAGGATGCACCCTTTTTATAAAACAAAACTAATGGGAAACAGAAAAGCATAGAGGGAGATAAAAATGACTCATAATTCCCCTACCCTGAAATAATCAATGATAACCGTCAGAGAAATTTTCCTCATCTATACCAATTATTTCATGAGGCTCCTGTGAGATCATAGCATATGTATACTTTGGTTTTCCCTGGGGTTTTTCATGCCCCAATCACTCAAAATGCTTTGTAACCATCACACTAATGACTGTAACATTCCATCGTGTGGGTGTACAAATAACACCTGCTACAATTCAGGAAGCGTTTTCTTTTCCTTTTTTTTTTTTTTAAGATGGAGTCACACTCTGTCACCCAGGCTAGAGTGCCGTGGCACAATCTCAGCTCACTGCAACCTCTGCCTCCTAGGTTCAAGCAATCCTTCGGCCTCCCAAGTAGCTGGGACCACAGGCATGTGCCACCACACCCAGCTAAATTTTGTATATTCAGTAGAGACAGGGTTTTACTATGTTGGTCAGTCTGGTCTCGAACTCTTGACCTCAAGTGATCTGTCTGCCTCGGCTTCCCAAAGTGTTGGGATTACAGGCGTGAGCCATGGCACCTGGCCCAGGGAGGGTTTTCTATAACAGGCAATCAGCATCATCATCCCTAAATCTCCCAACAACCCTGGAAGAAAGATTTTTATGGTTCCTGGAAGATGATTTGCCCAAGACCCACAGCTGATAGTAGGTGCCGCGTAACTCTAGCCAACATCACCCTGACCCCACACTCACCCTCCATCCCTTCGTTCCCATCTCATGATTTTCTCACCCATGCCTCCATGATTGAATATTTGAGTTGTTTCCAGTTTTTCTATTACAAGTAACTGCAGTGTGCATCTTTGCACATAAACTTTTGTTTGAATTTCAGGTTACTTCCTTAGGATAAACTTCTAGACTTATTGAATCGAAGGTTGTGAACATTCTATCATATGCTTTCAGATTTTTTAAAGTATGTGTGGTTGGCCAGGTGCAGTGGCTCATGTCTGTAATCCCAGCACTTTGGCCGAGGCAGGCAGATCACCTGAGGTCAGGAGTTTGAGACCAGTCTGACCAATATGGAGAAACCCTGTCTCTACTAAAAATACAAAATTAGCCTGGCATGATGGTGTGCACCTGTAATCCCAGCTACTCAGGAGGCTGAGGCAGGAGAATCGCTTGAACCCAGGAGGCAGAGGTTGCGGTAAGCCAAGATGGTGCCATTGCACTCCCAACTTGGGTAACAATAGCGAAACTCTGTCTCAAAAATAAATAAATAATAAAAAATATCTCTGGTTATCATGGTTTTTTTTCTGAGACAGACTCTCACTCTGTCACCCAGGTTGGAGTGGAATGGGTATGATTATAGCTCACTGCAACCTCTGCCTCCAAGGCTCAAGCGATCTTCCCAACTCAGCCTCCTGAATAGCTAGGACTACAGGTGCACGCCACCATGCCCAGCTAATTTTCAAAAAATTTTTGTAGAAAGGGGGTCTCACTGTATCACCCAGGCTGGTCTCAAACTCCTGGGCTCATGCAATCCGCCTGCCTCAGCCTCCTAAACTGTTGGGATTACAGGTGTGAACCACTGTGCCTGGCCTGTAATTTTCATTTCTAGGATTTTTATTTGGTTCTTTTTCAAAGTCATCTATTATTGTTCCAGTGAGTCCCATTCTTACCTTAAGGATCCTACTCCTTCTGTTCATTCTACTGTATCATTCTTTTTTATTATTTATTTATTTTTATTTTTTTGAGATGGAGTCCCACCCTGTTGCCCAGGCTAGAGTGCAATGGCACAATCTCGGCTCACTGCAATCTCCACCTCATGGGTTCAAACGATTCTCCTGCCTCAGCCTTCCAAGGAACTGGGATTACAAGTGTCCGCTACCACACCCAGCTAATTTTTGTATTCTTAGTGGAGACTCCTGACCTCATGATCTGCCTGCCTCAGCCTCCCAGAGTGCTGGGATTACAGGAGTGAGCCACTGCATCTGGCCCTGTATCATTCTTTTGTTGACAAGGAGAAGGCCAACTGGAACTCTCCTACTGGTGGGGGTGTAAAATGGTACAACCACATCAGAGAATTGTTAAGAAGTTTCTTATCAAGTTAAGCATACACCTACCCTGTAATCTAGAAATCTCACAGTCCCATTCTTAGGTATTTGCCCAAGAGAAATGAAAATATATGTCCACACAAAGATTCATACAAAATGTTCACAGCAGCCTTATTCATAATAGCCAAAAACCAGAAACAACCCAAATGTCCAACAATAGGTGAATGGATAAATTGTGATATATTTATATAATAAAACACTACTCAGCATAAATTTTAAAAGAAACTAACTACTGATACGTGCAAGAACATAGATGAATCGGTCCCACAGACAGTAATTATGCTGAGGGAAAGAAGCCAGACCGAAATGGTACAATACTGTATGACACCATTTATATAAAGTTCAAGAAAAGGCAAAGCTCATTTAGATAGAAGACAGAACAGTGGTTGCCGAGCTGAGGAGGGCATGGGGTAAGGATTGACTACAAAGGAGTACAAGAGAGTTTTCTAAGACAATGGAATGTTCTAGATTTTGATAGGGATATCAATTTTTTTTTTTTTTTTTAAGACAGGGTCTCATTCTGTCACCCTGGTTGGAATGCAGTGGTGCCATCTTGGCTCACTGCAACCTCCACCTCCTGGGCTTAAGCAATCCTCACATCTCAGCCTCCTGAGTAGCTGGGACTACAGGTGCAAGCCATCATGCTCGGCTAATTTAAAAACAATTTTTTTTTGGTAGAAACTGGGTCTCAGTATATTACCAAGCATAATCTCTTGTCTTGACCTTTCAACATGCTGGGATTATAAGCATGAACCACTGTGCCCAGTTGGGATATAGATTATACCAGGTATTTATTTTTCAAAACTCATTGACTGGAACCCTTAGAATTTATGTATTTTATCATATGTAAATTATTTCTTAGTAGAACAAATCCAACCAAACTATCACACATAATGATAAATACCGTGAAGAAAGTCAAGCAAGACAGTCCGATGGGGGAGACGTGACCAGGGAAAGCCTCTCCAAGCATGGGGGCAGACCCCTGAAGGCATCATTCACTTTCCTGTTTTCCCAGTTAAGAATAAGAAAAACTGCACAGACAGGAACCCCTATCAAAATCTAGAATGTTCTGGCTGGGTGCAGTGGTTCATGCCTGCCGTCCCAGCATTTTGAGAGGCTGGGAAGTGGGAGGACTGTTTGAGCCTGGGAGCTTGAGACCAGATGGAAGCATAGTGAGATCCTGTCTCTAAAAAATAAAAATAAAAAATAGCAGAGCTGGATATGGTGGCGTATGCCTGTAGTCCCAGCTACTCGGAAGGCTGAGGTGGGACGATCACCTGAGCTCCGGAGTTCAAGGTTGCACTGAGCTGTGATCATGCCACTACACTGCAGCCTGGGCAACAGAGTGAGACACTGTCTCAAATATATACATATAGAGAGAACATTCCATCATCCCAGAAAACTCTCTTGTACTCCTCTCTAGTCAATTCCTACCCCTAGCCCCCCAGCTCAGCAAACCCTGTCCTGTCTTCTTTCATCTTAAATGAGTTTTGCCTGTTCTTAAACTTCATATACAGTAAACAGCATTATACATAGGAATCAATTTGGAAAAACTTATCTGAATCCCTTTGGTATTTATGGTCTAGACTAGTGGTTCTCAAAGTGCAGTCCCCAGCATCGGCATCACATAGGACCCTGTTAGAAATGTACATGACCGGCCGGGCGCCGTGGCTCACGTCTATAATCCCAGCACTTTGGGAGGCTAAGGCAGGCGGATCACTTGAGATCAGGAGTTTGAGACCAGCCTGGCCAACATGCTGAAACCCCATCTCTACTAAAAAAAACAAAAATTAGCCAGGTGTGTTGGTGCCTGCCTGTAATCCCAGCTACCTGGGAGGCTGAGGCAGGAGAATCACTTGAACTTGAGAGGTGGAGGCTGCAGTGAGCTAAAATCACACCACTGCACTCCAGCCTGAGTGACAGGGTGATACTCTGTATCAAAAAAAAAGGGGGTGGGGGGCTGGGTGTGGTGGCTCACACCTGTAATCCCAGCACTGGGAGGCCAAGGCGGTCGGATCACAAGGTCAGGAGTTCAAGACCAGTCTGGCCAACATAGTGAAACACCATCTGTACTAAAAATACAAAATTAGCCGGGCGTGGTGGTGCATGCCTATAATCCCAGTTACTCAGGAGGCTGAGGCAGGAGAATCACTTGAAGGCAGAGGCTGCAGCAAGCTATATTCAAGCCACTGCACTCCAGCCTGGAAGACAGAGCCAAAAAAATGAAAACAAACCAACAACAACAACAGAAAGACGAATCACTCAATATAGCAGCCGGAGAAAAAGTTCTCTTGGAATAACCACATGCAAAGAAACTGAATTCTCTCCAGTCAGAAACAGGAACTATAGTGCCTGAGAATATCTAATCGATTTCAGTGTCAGGTCTTGAAAGAGTTTTTGTTTTTTTGTTTTTGTTTTTGTTTTCTAAGATAGAGTTTTGCTCTTGTTGCCCAGGTTGGAGTGCAATGACACGATCTTGGTTCACTGCAACCTTCGCCTCCCAGGTTTAAGCGATTCTCCTGCTTTGGCCTCCTGAGTAGCTCGGATTATAGTCATGCACCACCACGCCTGGCTAATTTTTGTATTTTTATTTATTTATTTATTTATTTTATAAAGACGGGGTTTCACCATGTTGGTCAGGCTAGTCTTGAACTCCCGACCTCAAGTGATCTGCCCGCCTTGGCCTCCAAAGTGCTTGGATTACAGGCGTGAGCCACCACACCTGGCCAATTTTTGTATTTTTAGTAGAGATGGGCTTTCACTATGTTAGTCAGGCTGGTCTCCAACTCCTGACCTCGTGATCCACCCACCCAGGCCTCCCAAAGTGCTGGGATTACAGGCATGAGCCACCACATCTGGCCGAGAGGTTTTTTAAAAAGCATTTCAGATGTTCCTTACTATTTTTTGGCAGAACATCTGCCATCTGTTTTCTTCTCTCCCCACATCTGTATTAATAACTCAGAAAAAATATATATGTATATATAACCTTATATAAAAACAACGATCAAAAAGTGGTGAGAAGAAGGGGCAGATTTAAAAGTTTTATGAAGCATTCGTTTTAAGCCTCTGCAATTATTCCTGAAAAACAAAACACACTACTTTTCCTGACTGCAGTACTGGTGAGGATTGCATATTAGGAATGACTGTGATGATTTGTGCCTGGGGCTTAATTTATAAAGTTAGTACTGAGTGATGGCATACAGAGGTCAATGCCACTGAAAGAAGATTTTTATTTTTTTTTGAGATTCTTGCTCTGTTGCCCAGGCTGGAGTACAGTGGTGGCATGATCTTGGCTCACTGCAGCCTCCACCTCCTGGGTTCAAGTGATTTCCCTACCTCAGCCTCCCAAGTAGCTGGGATTACTGGTACCTGCCACCACACCCAGCTAATTTTTGTATTTTTAGTAGAGATGAGGTTTCACCATGTTGGCCAGGCTGCTCTCGAACTCCTGACCCCAGGTGATCTGCCCGCCTTGGCCTCCCAAAGTGCTAGGATTACAGGTGTGAGCCACCACGCCTGGTCAAAAAGAATTTATTACATACTTTTCCCAAGAGATGGGGCCACACCATGCCATCCCAGGCCACACCAGGCATTGCCACACTAGACAGGGCCACAGGATGAAGTACCAGATTTAGTCAGGAGGCAGAATAAAGGGGAAAGAATAGTCTAGAAGCTTTGTTGTGTTTTCCAGTGGAAGGGCAAGGGAGGACTGGGGAAACAGGGTTAACGACTTTGAATAATGCCAGTGGGTTCTGGGTTACAGGGGTGGTCTCTAAATGTCTGGCCCTCACCCTACCTGCCCCTAAGGAGAAATACTAGACAGTTAGAAAAGGAGGTGGCTATGGGATTGGTCGGAGATATTGTAATACGATTTTCACACCCTCACAAAAGCTGGATTGCAGGGGAGATGTAAACAATTTCAGCCTTGGGGGGCCAAGATGAAAGGACGGCTTGAAGCCAGAAGTTCAAGGCTGCAACAAGCTATGATCGCACCACTGCACTCCAGCCTAGTTGAAAGAATGAGACCCTGACACCAAAAACATGTTTGAATTTTTTTTTTTTTTTTCTGAGACAGTCTTGCTCTGCAGCCCAGGCTGGAATGGTGTGGTGTGATCTCGGCTTACTGCAACCTCTGTCTCCTGGGTTCAAGCGATTCTTATGCCTCAGCCTCCCGAGTAGCTGGGATTACAGGCATGTGCCACCATGCATGGCTAATTTTTGTATTTTTAGTAGAGACGGGGTTTCATCATGTTGGCCAGTCTAGTCTCGAACTCCTGACCCCAAGTGATCCACCTGCCTTGGCCTCCCAAAGTGCTAAGATTACAGGCGTGAACCACCACACCCAGCAGAAAAATTTAAAAATAAAAATTAGCCACCTGTGGTGGTGCATGCCTGTAGTCCCAACCCAGCTACTTGGGAAGCTGAGCTGGGAGTATCACTTGGGCCCAGAAAGTGGAGGCTGCCGTGACTTATGATCATGCCAGTGCTCTTCAATCTGGTGACAGAACAAGACCCCACCTCAAAAAAACAAAACAAAACAAAAAACACAACTTCAGCCTTTAGTTTGGCCCTGTGATTATTAATTGCCAAATAGACATATACACAAAGAAGCTAAGAAAATAGTGTGCTGAGGCGCGCCTGTTCCAGCCCAGTAATTAGTATCTAAGATTCACCACCAGCCACTCCCACTTTGTTCTAGATGCCAAACTTCTTTTTCCCCCTTAAGAAACAGTCAGATTGCTTGAAGTTATTTTTTTAAATGCCTCTGCTTGATGTTAATCCTATGTTGGTTTAAAACGCGCATTTTAATCTTAAGCGACAAGCTGATTTTCCGTCACTCTGAGATGATGCAAGGACAGGCAGTGGTGCAGGGAGGGGATGCTCTTCAGTTCAGGGTGGGAGAGAGCCACCAGGGTTTTCAGTCGTGTTCCTTCCCCCGCCACTTGTGGCAGAGCCAGGGACAGACCATGAGGACTAGATGGGCCACTGTTTGGGCTTTTCCTTGCATCAAATACCAACATTTTTGGCCAGATGCGGTGGCTTATGCCCGTAATCCCAGACACTTGGGAGGCCGAGGCAGGCGAATCACTTGAGCTTAAGAGTTTGAGACCAGCCTGGGCAACATGGCAAAACCCCGTCTCTACAAAAACTTCAAAAAATTCCATCCTAGCCAACATGGTGAAACCCCATCTCTACTAAAAATACAAAAATTAGCCGGGCATGATGCCACGTTCCTCTAATCCTAGCTACTCAGGAGGCTGAGGTAGGAAAATAGCTTGAACCCAGGAGGTGGAGGTTGCAGTGAGCTGAGATTGTGCCACTGCACTCACTTCAGCCTGGTGACAGAGCAAGACTCCATCTCAAAAAAATGCAAAAGAATTAGCCAAGAATGGTGGTGCCTGCCTGTAGTCCCAGCTACCTGGGAGGCTGAGGTGGGAGAATCATCTGAGCCCAGGAATTCAAGGCTGCAGTGAGCAGTGATCCCGCTACTGCACTCCAGCCTAGGACAGAGTGAGACACCATCTCAAAAAAAAGAAAAAAAAAGACCCAGCACTTTCAAAGAGATCTTTATACAAATAGATCTCTCTCTTCCTTCAGATATGCCAAATACTACAAGGAAAACAATGTTGAGAAACGGACCCTGATAAAAGTCTTCGGGATCCGTTTTGACATCCTGGTTTTTGGCACCGTAAGTCTCCTTTCCCAGCTCCAGGCACCTGCATCCTGTGACTGTCCTAATGGGTGCTGTGGGGCCTCCGTGGAGGGAAGGTTTTTGGTCACAGCCATTCGCTAGCACTGGGCATTTCACACGTGGGATAAAAGAGGAGGGAGATGTCCTTGGGTGCTGTCCTTGAATGAGTCATCTCACCAGTACAGGAGTGGCCTGGAAGGCAATTCTCAGATATGGCTTTAAAAATACTCTGATACGTAAAAAGAGAGAGAAATAAATCTCTTTGTAAAATAGTTTGTAAGTAGCAGAATCCAACTCAAATTGGCTTAAGGGGAAAAAAAATTTTTTTTTTTTTAGTTGGCTTTTTCTGGTTCACATAACTGAAAAAATCCAGGGGTTATTTTATTTATTTTATTATTTTTATTTATTTATTTATTTTGAGATGGAGTCTTACTCTTTGCCAGGCTGGAGTGCAGTGGCTTGATCTCAGCTCACTGCAACGTCCACCTCCTGGGTTCAAGCAATTATCTTGCCTCAGCCTCCTGAGTAGCAGGGACTACAGGTGCCCGCCACCCCACCCAGCTTATTTTTGTATTTTTAGTAGAGACACAGTTTCACCATGTTGGCCAGAATGGTCTCGATCTCTTGACCTCATGATCCACCTGCCTCAGCCTCCCAAGTAGCTGGGATTACAGGTGCCTGCCACCCACACTAGCTTATTTTTGCATTTTTAGTAGAGATGGGGTTTCAGCACCTTGGCCAGGTTGGTCTTGAACTCCTGACCTTATGATCCACCCACCTCAGCCTCCCAAAGTGCTGGGATTACAGGCGTGAGCCACTGTGCCCACCCCTCCACCCCAGGGATTATTTTTAAGCTTCAAGCATGGCTGGATCCAGGGATTCAAACAACGTTCTCATCAAGAACTTACTGCCCTCTGTGTCTTATATACATATGTCCTCCTCAGTCTTGGCAACATCCCCAGACTGGCCATCTCTCTACAAAGGTATCAGGCAGCACCTTCAATCTGACTGGTTTAGGAACCTCAGTGAAAAGAAAAAAACTGTTTGCCAGAAGGTTCAGCAAAGGTCTCAGTCAAATGTCATTGGCTCTGATTGGCCCACTATGAATGGCATGCCCACTGCTGAACTAATCACTGTGACCACAGTCATGCCATACTCCCAGTGGTTGGTCTCGAACCAGCCCGAACCCAGCCCCTTCAAAACACACACACACACACACACACACACACACACACACACACACAAACACAGACTACATGGACTGAAAAGAAAATTGGGTGTTGTCTTCTGAAGACGCAAGGAAGGGATGCCAGATATGCAAAAATCAACAGATCCCATGACCCCCTGTCCAAGAGTATGTTGTTTATGTAAGGTGGTGATAAGCAGGATGAGAAGCAATGAGATAGAGCTGAGAGAACGCAAAGACCACTGGGAATAAAAACCCCAAGGCCACCTGAGAGACGAATCTGTGCAGACATTCCTTCCCTCTGCTTCTGAAATAATCTCAAACCTCTTGGAGGAGAAGCTTGTCTGAAACCCTCGCCCTGTATGGAAAAACAACAGACCTTCAGTGGTTCTCCCCTTAATGTGTGGGCCCCAGTGCTTGTTCATGTAAAACCTTTGTGGGTCCAGGTACGCCCTGGGCAGATGAAGCAGGATGCCTGAGAGTCACAGTTTCCATCTGCATAAGTCTCTGACTTGGCGAGCACTTGAACACATCCATCCACGTCCCAGCACGAGGCTCCACTCCCTGATAGAACCAGCAACTGCATGTTAAAGCAAAAGAGCGTTGCTCTGAATTTCACCTGAGTAAACTCTCCCACTCTGTTTTTAGGGAGGAAAATTTGACATTATCCAGCTGGTTGTGTACATCGGCTCAACCCTCTCCTACTTCGGTTTGGTAAGAGATTCTCTTTTCCGCGCTTTAAGAAAATGCTTTGGAGAAGGAAGTGACTAACATGGCGCCTGTCTGGGTTTTCCCCAGGCCACTGTGTTCATTGACTTTCTCATCAACACTTACTCCAGTAACTGCTGTCGCTCCCATATCTATCCCCGGTGCAAGTGCTGTCGGCCCTGCATGGTTAATGAATACTACTACAGGAAGAAGTGCGAGTCCATCGTGGAGCCAAAGCCGGTGAGGCCGCTGTGTTCATAGGACACCAGGACACGGAGAGATTCCATGAGATCACTGAGAAATGAACAAAGTTAGGCCCAAATCACAGGCTTAATCCTGCAGTGGGTACATCTCCGGGCTCTCCCCCATCAACTGTATCTTCGATAAATTATTTGGTCTTGGAGGAGAATAGAAACAAACATGGAGGGGCAAGATAGAGGGAAGGCAAATTTTTATGTCCAGGACTTGTCAGTTTTGTCATATATTTATTCGTTTATTTATTTTTATTTACTTTCAGACAGAGTCTTGCTCTGTCACCCAGGCTGGAGTGTAGTGTCTCGATCTTGGCTCACTGCAGCCTCTGCCTCCGAGGTTTAAGTGATTCTCCTGCCTCAACCTCCCAAGTAACTGGGACCACAGGCGCACACCACCACACCCATCTAATTTTTGCATTTTTAGTAGAGACGGGGCTTCACTATGTTGGCCAGGCTGGTCTCGAACTCCTGACTTCAAATGATCCACCCACTCAGCCTCCCACAGTGCTGGGGTGACAAGTGTGAGCCACTGTGCCTGGCTTGTTTTGTCATTTATTAAATTGGTATAGCCAAAACAAAAAAAAAGAAAAGAAGAAGAATGACTTTGGAGAACCATTTGGCAGTGACCAATAATGTTTAAACAGGACATACTTTACAGCCTGGCATTTCCAGTTCTCCAAACCTGCCCTAGAGAAACATTCACATGAGTACCCAAGCAGTACACATATACAAAATGTTCAGTTGTTTATTACATTATTAATAATGTATGATTATTAACAGTGAAGAAATAGCATCTAACCAAATATCCAATAGGTAAATGGTGAAAGAAACTATTGTAAATCCATAGAAAGGAATACCAGGCACCAGTTTAAAAAAATGAGGTAGATAATAATAATGGCAGACATAGGCCAGGCGCAGTGGCTCACGCCTGTAATCCCAGCACTTTGGGAGGCTGAGGCGGGTGGATCACCTGAGGTCAGGAGTTCGAGACCAGCCTGACCAATACAGTGAAACCTCGTCTTTAAAAAAAAAAAATAAAAAATAAAATAATAATAATAATAATAATGGCAGACATTTACACAGCACTTCTAAATGCTTTATATATTAACTCACTGAATCTTCACAACCACTTGATGTAAACAGATGCTAGTATTATCTCTTTCTATTGATGAGGAAACTGAGCCACAGGAAGGTTAAATAATTGGCCCAAGGCCAGGCACGGTGGCTCACACCTGTAATCCCAGCACTTTGGGAGGCTGAGGCAGGCAGATCGCTTGAGGGCAAGAGTTTTGAGACCAGCCTGGCCAACATGGTGAACCCCGTCTCTACTAAAAATACAAAAATTAGCCAGGTGTGGTGGTATACACCTGTAATCCCAGCGATTTGGGAGACTGAGGGAGGAGAATTGCTTGAACCTGGTAGGTTGAGGTTGCAGTGAGCTGAGATCATGCCATTAGACTCCAGCCTGGGTGACAGAGGGAAACTCTATCTAAAAAAAAAAAAAAAAAAAAACATACATACATACATATACATACATACATATACATATACATATACATATACATATACGTATACATATGTGAATATATATGACTTGAGGACAGCAGATCTCCAAGATCTTTTGTTAAAAGGAAAAAAAGCAAACCATCAAACAATATATATGATATACAGGTTTAAAAAACACCACTAGACACAGAAGTTAATCTATATATTTTCTACATGTATATGCTATATACACACAAGTGTACACACACATACCTATACATATGTGTGGGTGTATATATGTACATGAGATTGTAGCAGCAGTTGCTTCTGGAAAGGAGCTTAGGGTGGGGGAGTAGTCACAGGGATTTTAGCATCATCTGTATTGTTTTGGTTTGATTAATCTGGACCTTATTAAGCAGGTCCTCTGCATTCAACTCCATGATTTCCCCCAAAGAGAAATCTCTGGTGCCTAAAGACAAAGACAATTTCTTTGTCTTTCCCTCTTCTAAGAACATGATTGTCCTGTTCCGGCAGCTGAATGCACCATTCACTGTCCATTGTACATGCATTTGCAATTTGAAATAAAAGTTCATCTCTGCAGCTAAAACTAATCACCACTTCATGGCCCAAGATGAGATGAAATTTAACAAACATATCAATAATTAAAGTTGCAGTCGTACAACTTTCTGGAGATACTGAATCTAGAGTCACTGAAATTGAGAGAATATACCAAAGGAATTTTACGCAGCAATTGGGGGATCCAATGTAAAAACATTAAGTAGTAAGCTGTGGCTGTGTTGAATCTACAAGCTGTGTGGGGTAGCAGGGCTTGATGGCTCACACCTGTAATCCCAGCACTTTGGGAGGCCAAGGCAGGAGGGTAGCAGGCACCTGTAATCCCAGCTACTCAGGAGGCTGAGGCAGGGGAATCACTGGAACCTGGGAAGCAGAGGCTGCAGTGAGCTGAGATCACACCACTGCACTCTAGTCTGGAGACAGGGCAAGACTCCATTCCCCAACCCACCCCCCCCAAAAAAAAGATGCATGGGGTTCCATTTCTGATTTACCTTTAGACTCAGAAATCATTAATTCTTGGTTAATGAGAGTTTTGGACTGGCTTGTTTAATAGTCTATCATTTGGCAAAGGGAATAACAATTGCCTTTAGATAGGCAATTCTTGATAATTCTGTACAAAAGCAGGTAAACTTTTAAATCATCTTTTTCTAGACATTAAAGTATGTGTCCTTTGTGGATGAATCCCACATTAGGATGGTGAACCAGCAGCTCCTAGGGAGAAGATTGCAAGATGTCAAGGGCCAAGAAGTCCCAGTAAGTTAAATCATTTTTGCTCTCTTTTTTTTTTTAAAGAAAATTTACTATTAAATATAAACACATCTAGAAACTTGTACAAATCAAAACTAATGGATTTTAACAAAGTAAACATACTCATGGAACCAGCACTCAGATTAAACAATTGAAAATTACTTATGCCCCCTTCCGATCACTACCCTCTCTCTTTTTTTAATTTTTAAAATTTGGCCAGGCACGGTGGCTCACATCTGTAATCCCCGAACTTTGGAAGGCCAAGGCAGCCAGATCACTTGAGGTCAGGAGTTCAAGACCAATCTGGCCAACATGGTGAAACCCTGTCTCTACTAAAAATACAAAAATCAGCTGGGTGTGATGGCATACATGTAATCCCAGCTACTCGGGAGGCCGAGGCAGGAGAATTGCTTGAACCTGAGAGATAGAGGTTGCCGTGAGCCAAGATTGTGCCACTGCATTCCAGCCTGCGCAACAGAGCAAGACTCTGTCTCAGAAAAAAAAAAAAAAAGTATTTTTTAATTACAGACAAGGTCTCACTATGTTGCCCAGGCTGGTCTCAAGCAATCCTCCCACCTCAGCTGTACCAAGCCCAGCCAACCGCCCTCTCTTAAAAGTAATCATTATCCTATATCTAAGGATTAATTTTATTTCTGCGGGAATTTTCTTGACATTGAATCATGTAGTGTGTAAGCAGCATATACTCAGTTGAGTGTCTGGCTTCCTTTACTCAACATTATTTTTGTGAGAGTTGTTCATGACATTGTGCACAATTCATTCTCATTGTGTAATTCCATGTTATCAACATCCAACTTATTCAGCCATCCTACTGTTGATGGGCATTTGGGTAGTGTCCAGTTGGGGGCTAATGCTAATAATGCTGCTATGGTCAACATATGGCACTCTAGTAGGCGGGCAATTACCTAAGAGTGGAACTGCCGAGTCATAAGGCAGACATGTTCAGTTTTAGGAGATACTAACAAACAGTGCTGCAAAATGGTTGCTCTCATTAGCACTCTCCCCAGCGGTTCCGGCTGCTGTGCATCTTCAATTTCCTAAGGCTGAATTACCACAAACTAAATGGCTCAAAACAGTAGAAGTGTATTCTGTCACAGTTCTGGAGCCTAGAAGTCTGAAATTAAGGTGTTGGTAGGGCCCCTCTCTATCTGAAGGCTCTAGGGAGGAATCCTTCCTTGCCTCTTCCTGACATCTAGTGTTTATGACACTGACTAGGACCTCCAGTACAATACTGAACAGAAGTGATAATAGCAGCCATCTCTGCCTCATTCCCTATCTTAGGGAGAAAGGTTTTGTGTATTTTTTTATTGTTTTTTTGGGCTGGAGTTTTGCTCTTGTTGGTGCATCTTGGCTCACCGCAACCTCTCCACCTCTGGGGTTCAAGCAATTCTCCTGCCTTAGCCTCCCAAGTAGCTGGGATTATAGGCATGCACCACCATGCCCTGCTAATTTTGTACTTTTAGTAAAGATGGGATTTTTTCCACGTTTGTCAGGCTGGTCTCAAATCCTGACCTCGGGTGATCTGCCCACCTCGGCCTCCCAAAGTGCTGGGATTACAGGTGTGAGCCACTGCACCTAGCCTGCAGTGAGTTTTTAAGAATGCACTATCAGATAAGAAAATTCCCTTCTGTTTCTAGTTTGCTAAGCACCATTAATGGATACTGATTTCTTAAATAATGGCTTTTTTTTTTCTTCTGGCTGGGTGCAGAGGCTCATGCCTGTAATCCCAACACTTTGAGATGCCAAGGCGGGTGGATCACCTAAGGTCAGGAGTTCAAGAACAGCCTGGCCAACATGGTGAAACCCTGTCTCTATTAAAAATACAAAAATTAGCCAGGCGTGGTGGTGCACGCCTGTAATCCCAGCTACTCAGGATGCTGAGGTGGGAGAATTGTTTGAACCTGGGAGGCGGAGGCTGCAGTGAGCTGAGATCATACCACTGCACTCTAGCCTAGGCAACAGAACAAGACTCCATCTTAAAAACAAAAAGTTTTTTTGGCTCCTTTTGAAATAGCAATGAGTTTTCTTTCTTTCTTTCTTTCTTTTTTTTCTGTTATGTGTTGAATTGTACTGATTGGTTTTCAAATATTAAGCCAACCTTGCATTCCTGAAGTAAACTCAATTTGAATGTGTTGTACTATTCTTTGTATTTATTACTGAATTCCATTCATTAATATTTAAGATTTTTATATCTCTTCTTGAGAAACACTGGGCAAAGTTTTTCCATTCTTGTAATGTTTTTGTTGGATTTGGGTATGAAGTGAACTACAGTCATGCATCACTTAATGATGGGGATATGTTCTGAAAAGTGATCCAGGCTGAGGTGGGTGGATGACTTGAGGTCAGGAGTTTGAGACCAGCCTGGCCAACATGGTGAAACCCTGTCTCTACTAAAAATACAAAAATTAGCCAGGTGTGGTGGCACATACCTGTAATCTCAGCTACTTGGGAGGCTGAGGCAGGAGGATCATCTGAACCTGGGAGGCAGAAGTTGCAGTGAGCCGAGTTGAGCTAGACCCCACCTCAAAAGAAAAGAAACCAATTCACAAATACACACATTAGCCTAGGGTCCAGATCATCAATATCACCATATTTTGCCTCTGTGTCTTGTCCCACTGGAAGGTCTTCAGGGACAATAACACACATGGTGCCATCATCTCCTATGATAGCAATGCCTTCTTCTGGGTATCGCCTGAAGAACATACCTGAGGCTGTTTTAAAGTTAACTGTTTTTAAATAAATAGAAGCAATACATTCTAAAGTAATAAAATAGTATAGTAAATACATAAACCAGTAACAAAGCTGTTTATTATCAAACATTATGTACTGTACATAATTATATTTTATACGACTGGTAGTGAGGTAGGTCTGTTTACGTCAGCATCACCACGAACATGATACCGCATTGCACTATGATGTGATGACATACATGATGTCACTGGGGATAGGAATGTTTCAGCTCCAGTGTAATCTTATGGGACCACTCTCATATATGTGGTCCATCACTGACCAAAATGTCACTATGTGGCACACAACTGTGTTTAGTGTGTATGTGTGTGTGTATGTGCACTCACGTGCATATGGTAAAATATATGTAATGAAATTTACAATTTTAACCATTTTACAGTGTACAAGTCAGTGACATTTAGCTCGTTCAAAACACTGTGCAGCCATCACCACTCTCTAGTTCCAGAGCTCTTTCATCTCCCCAAAAGGAAACCTGTGTCCGCTAAGCAGCCTCTTCCCATCCTGACATCCCCCAGCCCCTGGCGACCACGAATCTACTCTCAGTCTCTCTGGATTTGCCTATTCTGAACACTTTCTATGAATGGACTCACACACTGTATGGCCTTTTGTGCCTGGCTTCTTTCATGCCGCACTGTATTTTCTAGATTCATCAGTGTTGTAGCAGGTGTCAGCACTTCATTCATTTTTATGGCTAAATAATATTCCATCGCGTGGACATAATGTTTTGTTTATCCATTCATCAGTTGATGGACACTTGGGTTGTCTCTGCCCTTTGGCTGTGGTGAAAAAAGCTGCTATGAGCATTCATGTACAAGAACCATTTAGTTTTAGTGTTCTTGACTCAGGCCTTCCTCATCCAGTAAATGAAAGGGTATGTCACAAAGAATAGACGTGGCAACCACAGCAACTTCCCTTAGATAATAACAAATGGATTTGGCCGGGCGCACTGGCTCACGCCTGTAATCCCAACACTTTGGGAGGCTGAGGCGGGCAGATCACCTGAGGATGGGAGTTCAAGACCAGCCTGACCAACACGGTGAAACCCCCATCTCTACTAAAAATACAAAATTAGCCAGGTGTGGTGGCACATGCCTGTAATCCCAGCTACTCAGGAGGCTGAAGCAGGAGAATCACTTGAATGCAGGAGGTGGAGGTTGCAGTGAGCCGAGATCACGCCATTGCACTCTAGCCTGGGCAACAAGAATGAAACAGCGTCTCAAAAATAAAATAAAAGTGGATTTGCCAAGAGGGAGAGCATGGTGGGAAAGAGAGAGTGGTGCTAAGTCAACAAGTATTTCCTGTCTGTCATACGCTGGGCCCCGGCCCAGGCATCACGGATATGGCAGTAAAAAAGCAGACAGCGTCCCTGCTTCCGTATGGAAGAAGGATCATCACCAAGTAAACACATAAATTAATGAGACAATTTCCAGTAGTGCTGAGTCCTGTGAAGAATGTGGAATACCATGGTGTGATAAGAGAATCACACAGGGGAAAAGCTGCTAGATAGGGTGGTCAGGCCACGAGGCGACATGTCAACAGAAGCCAGGCTTTTCTGAATTTCATTTTCCAACATCTATAAAATAGGCCAGGTGCAATGGCTCACGCCTGTAAACCCAACACTTTGGGAGGGTGAGAGAGCCGGATCACCTGAGGTCAGGAGTTCCAGATCAACCTGGCCAACATGGTGAAATCTTTTCTACTAAAAATATGAAAGAATTAGCTGGGCATGGTGACATGCACTTGTAATTCCAGCTACTTAGGAGACTAAGGCATGAAAATTGCTTGAACATGGGAGGTGGAGGTTGCAGTGAGCCGAGATCACACCACTGCACTCCAGCCTGGGAAACAGAGTGACACCCTCTCCAAAAAAAAAAATCTGTAAAATAGAGACGAGGATACATATCTCACAAACGTCTTCAAAGGCTTGAATGAGGTAATGCTTACAGAACACATGCAGGGTCCTGACAGCTATACTTAATAAATGACAGCTGCTACAACTTATGTAATATTAAATGTAACTTTCCAAGTTAATAAAGTTAAAGAACCTAGAGCCTGAAGGGTTGTCTTTGCTAATAAGTTTGGGAATTTGCCTTTTCAGAGACCTCCAGTGGACTTCACAGACTTGTCCAAGCTGCCCCTGGCCCTCCATGACCCACCCCCTACTCCTGGACAACCAGAGGAGATGCAGCTGCTTAGAGAGGAGGCGACTCCTAGACCCAGGGACAGCCCAGTCTGGTGCCAGTGTGGAAGCTGCCTCCCATCCCAACTTCCAGAGAGCCACAGGTGCCTGGAGGAGCTATGCTGCCGGAAAAAGCCGGGGGCCTGCATCACCACCTCAGAGCTGTTCAGGAAGCTGGTCCTGTCCAGGCACATCCTGCAGTTCCTCCTGCTCTACCAGGACCCCTTGCTGGCGCTGGATGTGGACTCCACCAACAGCCAGCTGCGGCACTGTGCCTACAGGTGCTACGCCACTTGGCGCTTCGGCTCCCAGGACATGGCTGACTTTGCCATCCTGCCCAGCTGCTGCCGCTGGAGGATCCGGAGAGAGTTTCCCAAGAGTCAAGGGCAGTACAGTGGCTTCAAAAGTCCTTACTGAAGCCAGATGCGTGGCTCATGCGTGTAATCCCAGCACTTTGGGAGGCCAAGGCAGGCAGATCACCTGAGGTCAGGAGTTGGAGACCAGCCTGGTTAACAAGGCAAAATCCCATCTGTACTAAAAATACAAAAATTAGCCATGGATAGTGGCACGTACCTGTAATCTCAGCTACTTGGGAGGCGGAGGCACGAGAATCACTTGAACCTTGGAGGCGGAGATTTCAGTGAGCCAAGATTGCGCCACTGCACTCCAGCCTGGGAGATACAGCAAACCCTGTCTCAAAAAATAAAACTAAAGTCCTTACTGACAGCAGGGGGCTGCAGTAGCCACATTAATATGACCTTTGCTAGCATCTTGAACATCCCCTGCAAAGCTCTGTGGCCACATTTTCACCCAGAAGGGAAATGTGCTTTCATCTTCTGTAGCACTCTGTGTCTGAGAGCAAAGTAACCTGGTTAAACAAACCAGAATCCCTCTGCCTGGACACAGAGCAGACAGATTCAGATGTAAGTCTCAACTCTGTCCCTAGGAAGCTGTGTGTGGCCCTAGTCCTCTCACCTCTGCCTCCGTTTCCCCATTGCCCAACTACTATCTCAGAGATACTGTGAGGATAAATTAAGTGTACATGAACTGTCTCGTTAATGTGTAAAGAGCTATGTGAATGCAAAACATTTCATTATGAGGTCAGACTAGGATAATGTCCAACTAAAAACAAACCTTTTTGGTTATGGTTGGAGAATGTGGAGGACTAAAGGTGGCCACAAATACTTTGACACTCAAATCCCCCAGGACCTAAGGGTCTTATCTCCTCCCCTTGAGTATGGGTGGCTCTGATTGTTTTATCCAAAAGTGAAAGTGATGTTGTGCTGGTTTCAGATCTTGGTCTTAAGAGACTGACAGCTGCTACTTCCTGTCCCTTGGAACTCTTGCTACCGGGGATGCCAGACTCTATTTAAAAGTCTGTCTACCCTGGTCGGGTGTGGTGGCTCAAGTTTGTAATCCCAGCACTTTGGGAGGCTGAGGAGGGCCGATCACTTAAGGACAGGAGTCCAAGACCCAACTCTCCAACATGGTGAAACCACAGCTCTACTGAAAATACAAAAATTAGCTGGACATGGTGGTAGGCACCTGTAGCCCTAGCTATCAAGAGGCTGCGACAGGAGAAATGCTTGAACCTGGGAGGTGGAGGCTCCACGGAGCTGAGATCATGCCACTGAACTCCAGGCTGGGTGACAGAGCGAGACTCCATCTCAAAAAAAAAAAAAAATGTCTGCCAATCCTGAGACCGCCCTGCTATGAGGAAGCCCAAGCAGCCATGTGGAAATGCCTGACCAGCCCCAGCTTTCAGGCCATCCAAGCTTGGTCACCAAACGAGAGAGAAGAAGTCTTCAGGTGATTCTGGACCCTGCTAACATATGACCGACACTGCATGATACATCCCAAGTAAGAACTTCTCCATAAATCTAGAAAATCAAAATGCTATCTTAATTCACTAAGTTTTGGGCCTGTTTGTTCCACAGCAACAGATAACTGGAAGAGAGCAAGCCTGATGAATGGGCACAGACTCAGCCCATACCTTCCCTGGTTCTAATGTTCTTAGGGAGCCCAGGCCAACCCTGGAACCCTCAGGAACTTCAGTTTCCACTGGACAGTTCGAGAAGGGCTATAGCCCAAATCAGTTAACTCACCAGACCAGCCCTGGAATCCATCAAATCTAACTCTGAGCTACCCAATGCAGTCCAATCCTCATCACAATTCTATGACTGAAGACCAGGCACTGTGGCTCACACCTGTAATCTCAGGACTTTGGAAGTCCGAGGTAGGTGGATCATGAGGTCAAGAGTTCAAGACCAGCCTGGCCAACATGGTGAAACCCCATCTCTATGAAGAATACAAAAATTAGCTGGGCGTGGTGGTGGGTGCCTATAATCCCAGCTACTCTGGAGGCTGAGGCAGGAGAATCGCTTGAACCCAGGAGGTGGAGGTTGCAGTGAGCTGAGATCATGCCACTGCACTCTAGCCCAGATGACAGAGCAAGATGCTATCTCAAAAAAAAAAAAAAAAAAAAACAAAAAAAAAAAAAAAAAAAAAAAAAAAAAAAAAACGACAACAAAACAAAACAATGCTATGACTGAAAGCGACTAAAAATCTGCCTTGATGCCATTAACAGCCTGTACTTTGCAGCCATTCAGAACTGACGCAGTCTGGACGCCAGCTACTTCAAAAACAACCCGCAACCACACCTTTACCATTTCCATCATCAACTGCTAAGAATAGGAAAATGCATAGTGACAGGTTTTAGGATCCTGCTTTAGGATTTCCTTTTCCTGGTTTTGTCACCAGAGTTGGCTATTTAACTGTTTCTAAACAAAAGCCATTTAATCGAACAGTGTGGAGACCACTGTTAAATATTGTGACTGATAAAGGATCTGTGAATTTTTTATACATATTCCAAGAGTTACCATTTTGATCCCTTTTAAAAACCAGCAGCTTTCTACACTACTCATGTAGAACAGCATGAATACAAATGTTTTTCGATACAGGGTTTTATCTGGCTTTAAACTCAGGAACCAAGTTAATTATGCCAGATTGAACTTTGATTTTTCACTACCTTTTCAAGGATATTTTTTAAAGTGCATTATTATATATAATTTCTTTGGAGTTGACACTTCTTTAGTCCAGGAATTCTATGTCACTGTGACAGGTTTCCATTCTGATGGCCTCTGGGCCTTTGTACCTTCGTGTTTGGTGCCTTATTCCTAGTATATTTCTATCACCTTAATGAGGCCACAGATGGAATTAAAATGTGAAATTACAAATCATCACTGGATCCATCTGCTTTTCTCACCTTCCCCACTGATGCTCTGGGCGAGACAGTGACATGTCACTTCAACTGTGTAACATGTCACACACGTCCCACAATAACAGGTGTCATAGTTGTATTCTTATTTTTAGTTTACTGTAGAAAATAATGTCATCTCCAAAGGTGATGGGAGTCACATTTTGTAGGATGTGTTTTCTTATTCTTCTGCTATGGTAACTGCCAGTATTCATGGCTTCGTCTCTGTGAAAAGAAGGGATCTTCGTCTCAGAAAAGAAGGGATCTGCTTTCTCTTGGCTGATTTCACATAATATCGGTAATGAACTTTCATTCCTCATTCGAATGGGAAATTACTTTTTAAACCCTTCCTGATTTTAGCCTGGTAATGTAAGTGTCCTTAATGTGACTGTTTTGATAATAAAAAAAAATGATGTATAATTTATTTAAATCTTCTCTTTATTTCCTTTCTTTTCAGAAGGTCCCCAAATCACAGTTAACTCATTCATTGACACATTCATTCAACAACTATTCATTGAGACACTCTCTAGAGATCAAGGATAAATAAGGTTGCTGGTCTCGTGAAAATATGAAGAGATGAAAAATAATTCCAGCAAATGGAATCTGGCAACTGGTGCTGAGTGTCACGGTGAAGAGGCAAATGATGCCATGAGAGCTTATAGCAGGGGAATTTAGCCTACTGGGGCGATCAGCCTACCTGAGGAAGGAATGTTTTAGCTAAAATTTGAAGGATGAGCACTACTTAAATAGTGAATGGGGAAGGCAGAAGCATTCTAGGCAGAGAGATCAGTATGTGCAAAGGTCCTGGGGCAGGAAAAGCATAGCAGGTTTACAGAACTTAGAGACCTGTATATGCCATAAACAGGACAGGGAAGTGAGGCATGAGTCACGGTTGGAAGCAGGCAGGGGCTGGCTTCCTGGAATCTTGTGGGTCACGGTAGAGTTTATCTTTATCCTAAGACCTAAGCCACGTAAAGGTTCTAAACAGGAGCCTGGTGAGATCATACTTAATTTTGATTTTTATTTATTTATTTATTTGTTTGTTTGTTTGTTTTGAGATAGAGTCTTGCTCTGTTGCCCAGGCTGGAGTGCAGTGGCTTGATCTTGGCTCACTGCAACCTCCGCCTCATGGGTTCAAGTGATTCTCCTGCGTCAGCCTCCCGAGTATCTGGGATTACAGGCATGCACCACCACACCCGGCTAATTTGTGTACTTTTAGTAGAGAATGTTACCAGGATTGTCTCAAACTCCTGACCTCAAGTGATCTGCCAAAGTGTTGGGATTACAGGTGTAAGCCACTGCTCCCAGCTCCCACATGAATTTGTAAACGCTCACTGCGATCGCTGTGTGGAAAATGAGCTAGGAGCGGTGGTGGATATGGTCTTTGTTTTTGTTTCAGTCTTTCCCTACTCCATGAAACATTTGTCCCACATATGCGGCCAAACAGAATGTTTCTCTTTTCTTCCCTCCTCTTCCTCTTGGGAAGTCACCAAAAAAAGGGGGGAAAATCAGCAGCAAGAGAAAAGGAGGAAAAGCTTTGGTGTGCCTTGAATTTTGGAATAGCCCCTGCCCCAAGTTGGCAGGGATGAGACTGCTTGTTGAGCTTCAGATCACAGGAAGGAGTGCAGGAAATCAGGAGACGAGGGGCAGTCAGCAGGGCCCACTGGGTATCCACCCTGCGGTGTAAGGCCTAAAATCAAGCTCTCGTATGAGGTGCTGCCTTGACATGAGGTGAAATCAGGAATGCCTGGAATAGCCTAACCCCAAGTTTCTCTCCCAGTCCTCCCTTGGCCAAGGGTGCCCAGTGAAACAACCTTCCTTATCAAACAGACCTGATGCAGTTCCTGCTAACCCATGGAATTGTCCAAATGAGCCAATCACATCCGTCAGGGAAACCAGGTCCTCCTCACCCTCTTGTTGCTACAGAGCATGCTCCCACTGGCCCTAGTTGTTCACTCTGTTTCTGTGTGGCCCTGAACGGCATGTGGGAGTCTTCCTCCCTGAGCTGTGAGTGTGTGTGACCAAAAATTGCTGCCAATCTCATCTGCCCAGTGTTGGGTGTCACGTGTTTAGCCATCCCCAGAACGCTGGGGTGGGAACAGGGAATCCCTCCCTCACCACTGAGGTAAAGAGGAGGTTATTAAAACATCCCTAATTCGGCCAGGGCAGTGGCTGACACCTGTAATCCCAGTACTTTGGGAGGCTGAGGCAGGTGGATCATCTGAGGTCAGGAGTTTGATACCAGCCTGGACAACATGGTAAAACCCTGTTTCTCCTAAAAATAGAAAAAATTAGCTGAGCATGGTGGCCAGCGCCTGTAATCCCAGCTACTTGGGAGGTTGAGGCAGGACAATCACTTGAACCTGGGACGCAGAGTTTGCAGTGAGCCAAGATCGTACCACTGCACTCCAGCCTGGGCAATAAGAGTGAAACTCCATCTCAATAAATAAATAAATTAAATAAATATCTAATTCCAGGCCAACCAGCAGCCCTAAAAACTTAATCTTGGTCTGGCTTCTGCCCAAAGTCATGGCCACACAAAGCCCTGCCTATTAGAGGCAATAAGGAACCATGACCACCACCCCCATTTATTCAAATTATCTACTTGAATGTACCAGGTGGGGTTTCACCCTCTGCTGTTTGTATGTTTCTCAACCCATATTCTAATCCCATGCAGTCATCATTCAGGAAGATCCCCTAATTCAACTTTTCTTTTTTGAAAAAATTAGAAATTCCCATCTTCTTTCACTTTAACTATGACCTTTCAGCTTCGTGTTTTTCATTCCTGAGGGCTATGAATCATAGTTCCAAAATAAATGATGATCTATGGAGAGGATTTTGCATTTCCAACATCCTTAGCTAACTTTGCTGAATTATGATAGTCACATGATCCTGAGGCCTCAGGAATCGGAGGAGGAGGCTGATGCTGACTCACCATTTTAACCAAATAAGCGTCTCACCTAGCCTGGATAAGGGTCAACTCACACTAACAGGGCTCTTATGCAGGCTTGTTCATTCTGGTAAGTCATGAATATTTGTTTTATGTCCCCCAAAAAACAATAAGCCCCTCAGAGGCAAGGAACTCATCTTGGTTTTTGTCCCTTCCACACCTGTCTCATCCCAGTGGTGTGTGGGCACTGGAAACAGGTTTAAATCCTGGCTTGGTCACTTATTGGCCAAGTGGCCTGATACAGTTTGGTTGTGTCCCCACCCAAATCTCATCTTGAATTGTACTCCTATAATTCCCATGTGTTGTGGGAGGGACCCAGTGGGAGACAATTGAATCATGGGGTGGTTTCCCTCATACTGTTCTTGTGGTAGTGAATAAGTCTCATGAGATCTGAGAGTTTTATAAGGGGTTGCTCCTTTCATTTGGCTCTCATTCTCTTTTTGCCTACCACCATGTAAGATGTGGCTTTGCCACTCCTTGCCTTTGCCAGGATTGTGAGGCCTCCCCAGCCCTGTATAACTATGAGTCATCTAAACCTCTTTCCTTTATAAATTGCCCAGTCTTGGGTATGTCTTTATTAGCAGCCTGAGAACAGACTAATACATGGCTTCGGGCAGCTTTTCATGAGTCTAGCCATGGTAGCTATTCTTATGATTTGGTTGGTGCCCAAGCATCGCTCTTGAGCTCCAGGCCCATATATCCAACCACCTCGAGATAATTCTATACTTAAATGGTTTAGTGGCAACTTAACAGATACAAAAGACAAATCATGATCTCTGTTCACCCCACCCACCCACATGTGACTTCCAGGGCTCTAAGTTCAGAGAGTAGCACCACCTGCCATGAGTTCAACTTCCCAAGCCAAAATTCAAAACCTTGATGTCTCCCTTCTCCTTCCCCATCTGTCCAACCTCATCCCTTCATTATGAGGTTGCACTTATTGAGCGCCCCGGCACTGTGCAGGAGCTGGGGGTGAACAGGTGAATAAGACAGGCTCTTTGGGAGGTTAGGTGCGGTGGGGGAGACAGGCAATCATAGTGAAAAGAAATGGGTTGAGGACAGCTTGGAATAGATTTTGAGAGAAACAAGCAGGATCCTATGATAGGAGCAAGGGAGTTACTTCTGAGAGGGGGCAGGGAGGGTTTCTCCAAGGAAGTGGCATTTATGCTAGATGTGAATATCGAGAAGGAGCCTGCTGTCATGAGTTGAAAGATGGGCATTCCAAGAAGAGCGACAGCAAACACAAAGCTGAGAAGTGGGAGAGAAAAGAGCGTCCCAGAGCTGGGCATACACCTATAATGCCAGCAATGAGAGATCATCCCTTAAGCCCAGGAGTTTGAGGCCAGCCTGGATAACATAGTAATACTTTATCTCAAAAAGAAAAAAAAGAAAGGAAGAAAAGGAAAGAAATGAGTGTGTTCCAGGAACTGTCAGATGGCCAATGCAACCATGCTCTGAGAGACACAGACTCGCTTGTTTTCTTACTGCCTCCTAAACCGTGTGGTCCCGTTTCACTGAAACAGAAGCTCAAAGAAAGGTGAAATTCACACAGGCAAGCACAGCCTTAGGAGGGTTATGAAGCTCGTGAGACATAAGCGGACTCTCACTGGAGGAAGGGGCTGGAAACAGTGGGATGAAAGGAGGCATTCCCAACAGGACGAGTGGCACAAGCCAGGCCCAGAAAGAAATGACTATGATAGCGGTGGGAGATTAAGTGGCACTGATTTGGGGAAACCTTCAAAAAGAAAAAAAGGCCGAGATGTTTGAGCCAGTTGCAAAGTTAAGATAGAGCCATTCTTGGGTCTGAAAGAGGACATGAGAGAAGCAATGACTTAAGAACATTCCTCAGACACACATGAGGACACGGGATGGGAGGGGAAGCCCGGGGTAGTGACATCACTTAGGAGTCTGCTGGGATTATATAGGAGTGTCTCAATGAGCTACCTCCTGTACTGCTGAATTGGCGGTGGTGATAGAAAGAAAAGGAAGACTCATTAAAATGTATTTTTTTTCTTTTTTTTTCTCCTTTTGTAGAGATAGAGTGTCCCCATCTTGCCCAAACTGGTCTTATACTCCTGGCCTCAAGCAGTCCTCCCACCTGGGCTCTCAAAGCTCTGGGATTATAGGTGTGAGCCACCACCCCCAGCCTGGTTAAATGACTTTTTAAAAATTCCTTTAAGTCCAACAGGAGGAGCTCGGTTAAGTAAATTATGGCACATTCGTATAACAGAAGAGTTTGCAGCTATTTTAAATGATGCCACAGAAAGACAGTTAATGACACGGACAGATGTTCAAGGCAGAACACAGCATGTATGACATTTCTTGCTTAAGGAGAATCTGAGCTTTTAACGAGATCTTTTTTTTTTCCTGAAGAGATAGTATTTATTAAAAATCTTTAATCTTCAGTGCACATTTAAGGAGACAAAGAAGAACTGCCTCATTCCTCCTTGGAGTATGTTATAGATAATAACAAACTCTTTCTTTTTTTTTGAGATGAAGCCTCACTCTTGTTGCCAAGGCTGGAGTGCAATGGCGCAACCTCAGCTCACTGCAACCTCTGCCGCCCAGGTTCAAGCAATTCTCCTGCTTCAGCCTCCTGAGTAGCTGGGATTACAGGCGTATGCCACCATGCCCAGCTAATTTTGTATTTTTAGTAGAGACAAGTTTCTCCATGTTGGTCAGGCTAGTCTTGAACTCCCAACCTCAGGTGATCTGCCTGCCTCAGCCTCCCAAAGTGCTGGGATTACAGGCATGCCACCACACCTGGCCCTAATTTTTTTGTATTTTTAGTAGAGACAGGGTTTCACCATGTTGGCCAGGCTGGTCTCAAACTCCTGTCCTCAGGTGATCCACCTGCCTCAGTCTCCCAAAGTGCTGGGAATACAGGCATAAGCCACCAAGCCTGGCCTTCAATACAGTATTTTAAAGACAAATACTAGGGAAGAAAAGATTGATTCAAAGTATCATTCTGGCCAGGCTCTGTGGCTCACATCTGTAAACCCAACACTTTGGGGGGCCAAGCCAGGAGGATTGCTTGAGCCCAGGAATCAAGACCAGCTTGGGTAACACAGTGAGACTCTGTCTCTACCAAAAAAAGAAAAAAAAGAATCATTCTCCCTGGATAAAGCAAGATGCTTCTCTTCTTTTGATGTATATAATTTAGATCCTAAGACTTAAGCTGTTTTGTATCTTGCCTTGCCTTTTTCCTCACTTGACATTACAGCATAAGCATTTCCTCCATATAATTAAATATATTTCATAAACATTTTTAGGAGTCCCAGGTAGCTGGGACTACAGACGTGTGCCACCGGCTAATTTTTGTATTTTTGTAGAGGCAGGATTTCACCATTTTGGCCAGACTGGTCTCAAACTCCTGACATCAGGTGATCCGCCCACCTCAGCCTCCCAATGTGCTGGGATTACAGGTGTGAGCCACCGGGCCTGGCTGAAACCATACTTTTATCAGTCGTACCTGTGGTCATTAAGCGCAAATATGTAACAGATTTGGGACTCTTTTTAACTAATTTAGACCCAAATACTTTTAAAGGATGGTATACATATAAAATGCAGATGTCCCTAAATTTCATTAAAAGGTTATTTTTTTAATGTTATATTATTAATACACTTAAAAAGCAAAGTAGAGGCCATGCACAGTGGCTCATGCCTGTAGTCCCAGCACTTTGGGAGGCTGAGGTGGGTCACGAGGTCAGGAGTTCGAGACCAGTCTGGCCAATACGGCAAAACTCCATCTCTACTAACAATACAAAAATTAGCTGGGCATGGTGGCGCAGGCCTGTAGTCCCAGCTACTCAGAAGGCTGAGGCAGGAAAATTGCTTGAACCTGGGAGGCGGAGGTTGCAGTGAGCTGAGATCCCGCCACTGCGCTCCAGCCTGGGTAACAGAGAGAGACTCTGTGTCAGAAAAACAAAAAAGATATTGGGTGTTTGTTTTTGGTTTTTGTTTTTCTGTTCCACAATAGATTCAGTCTCGTGGACTACCCCACACTGCCTCTTGCAGTCACAGGTTATTGCCCATCCACCCTCTATCCTACGGTGCCTTTCAAAGGGTGTGATCTCTGAGGTCTTTTACAGCCTAGTGACCAAACATTAAATGGGCTAAGATGTCAAGATCCAGGTATTAGAATAGGTCCAGCTCATCTGCAAGAATATCATCCTTTCCCCATCTCCTCCATTTCAACAACCTGTAATTCCTCCCACCCACTGAATGGGAGGAAGCATCTACAGATCATGCAGCTGACATGGAACTTGTATCTAGAATATATAAAGAACTCTTACACTTTGAAATCATAAGACAAAAGGCCAGGCATGGTGGCTCACACCTGTAATCCCAGCACTTTGGGAGGCCAAGGTGGGCATACCATCTCAGGTTAGGAGTTCGAGACCAGACTGACCAACGTGGTGAAACCCCACCTCTACTAAAAACACAAAAATTAGCTAGGCGTAGTGGTGCATGCCTGTAATCCCAGTTACTTGGGAGGCTGAGGCAGGAGAATTGCTTGAACCCAGGAGGCAGACGGTGCAGTGAGCTAAGATCCCGCCTTGCACTCCAGCCTGGGCAACACAGAGAGACCCTGTGTCAAAAAACCAAAAAGGACATTGGGTCTGATGGGGTTGAGAGGATTATCTGTGATCAACATACGGCCTATGAGATAAGAGTCAGGGTTTTTCTGTTCTGTTTTTTTTTTTTTGCTTTTTTTTTTTTTCTTGTTCCACAATAGATTCAGTCTCAAGGACTACCCAGGGAAAGCAACAGCAAAATTATAAAATGATTTTTTCCTCACTTTTGCTATCAACTTGTTCTTTATTTAGACGTTCTGCTTCTGGAAGTAGATATAATTACACTGTGTGCCGCACATAGCTGTCATTACGTTATACAATGACGTATTTCACAATGTCTGTGTGCCAGATAAGTGAATCTTACAGCTTTAAATGCCTGAACATGTAATTTAAACATTTTTTCACTAAGGGTTCTTCTGAACAAATGACACTGTCTCATCTGACTGGCCTTTTGCGACTCAAGGCCATGGTAACAAATGTCAGTCTTACATAACTATAACCAAATGACGCCCTAAAGGCACACTGAGGGCTGTCACCACTGGCCTCTAAACTAAATGGTCCCAGACTGATGAGTTGTTTTGGAGTTCTTGGCTCTGCTTTTCATAGAAACATTTCTTTTTTATGGGCTATTTGTGTATCTGCTGCTCTTAGTATTGGTGGCCTTGGGCAATGTGTCCCATCCCTTTCTAACTTGCTGCATTCAAAGAAATGTTTGTTTTACCACCTACGTTACTGGTGACATAGTACATTTTTCATCTGTTAGATCCTAGGGCTGTAGCCATAGTCTTTTCAATTCCAAGTTTCAGGAGGCTAATAGCTTAAGCAAAAAATGTACGTTTATTCTAAGATTATGGGGGTATCTCAAAGGTAAAGGTGAACGGGGTAGGGAGCAGAACCAGGGAGTAGAAGCTCAGCAGAAACCAGAGGCCATTCTCTTCGTCTCTCTCACCTCTGTGTGTCTTTGCCTGGCTGTTTCATTGTTTTACTTCCGCAGATTACTGTTCTAAGCTTCTCCATGCACGTGAGGGTTATGTCAAATCCGTTCGAGTCACCTACAGAGAAGAAAGAGTTGTCTGTATCCCAAGGCCAAAGCCAGAGAGACTGGGCCGGTTTGGGTCAGGCTCCCACCTGTGTTCCAGTCACCTGTGGCCAGGAGAATAAGGTCACATCGTATAAAAATGGCTGCTGCGCCACCTCTAGGAGAAAGGACAGCCTAGAGGAAGGAGGAACTGGCTTAATGTCTTCACCAGCAACAAAGGAAGCAGAAAATCAAAACTGTTCCAATTGCATCTAAAATAAAAATAGAGGCTGGACGCAGTGGCTCACACCTATAATCCCTGCACTTTGGGAAGCCGAGGCAGCTGGATCACTTGTGCTCAGGAGTTCAAGATCAGCCTGGGCAACCTGGTGAAACCCTGTCTTTACCAAAAG